TTGCAAACACTGCTCAGTACAGCTTGCGTTACCCAGACATCTGATGCAGGTCCTGTGTGTTCAGATTTAGATTTGAGGGAGACTCCTGTAATTCTGAAAATTTGCAAATGAGGCTACTCTACTATGTGTCTGAAATTAATTCGGCACAATGTTCTCAGTGCTCCCCTGTATTAGGGTACCAGAAAATATTTAAATCTTAACTAAGTATGTATTTGATTGGATTTTGCTTGTTTAGTGCGCAATATTACTATGCAGTAATCCTGAGGGACACTCATTTTTATCCATCTGAATGAAAAGACTGGTGTTGTTATCAACTTGTTTAAGTGGATCGTGTTTTAATTTATTACTTTTCTTGTGTCTTGTAATCATGTGGATTATAGTAACGAAGCCAGGATACATTTTCTCATGCTTTTCAGACTCATCATCAGTGCAGCGGAAATCTAATTATAGGTTTGCTGTGGTGACTTCTGTTCTGAAGGGAGTTTAAAATGAGTTATGTAAACAGAACTATGTAAGTCAAGTGTGAAAAAAAGTAAACTAAGGAAATAATGATTACTGTGTTGATATATACATTGTGATCTGACGTTAAAGTGCTATCTAACACAAAAACGTGGTCCAAAAAGCTTTACTGCTCAGTCTGAGAGATATTTGCAATGTATTTTGGTCTCCTTGGCAAGGCTAATGCTGTGCAGTCTTTTGGCTGGGCTGTGCTGTCTGTGGTCCCAGCGCTACTTCAGACATTGCCTGAGTTGTGTAGCAGCAGTGTAGTGTAGTGGCAGCTTGATAACTAGGCAGCTGGCTGCCTGGTGGTGCTTCATCCTCAGGTGAGCTGTTCCTCGGGGGTGATGCAGCTGGGGAGGTAGCTCTGCAAGCCAACCAAGAGTGAGCTGTTCTGTATCCAGCTGGCTGAAGTGTCCAGAAGTCAGAGCCTGCCAGGGTGGAGCTTTCCTTTGCTTCCTTCCTCCTGCTAGGAAAGCCCTGATTTTAGTGACAGAGAAATTGTGCCACTTCAAAATACTGTCTGGGCTATTTGCTTGTCAAAGTGGAAGAAACAGGATTCTGAATTCAACTTTCAGGTGAATTCCATAGCCACCAAGAAATAAGTACATATGCAGAGTTGCTCTCTGCTTTTGTTCTGTGTGAGGTGCATCTAGCTCAGGTGTACACGGACAGCATCTGAGTCCCACTTCTAAACTTTGAATGAAGATCTTGACAAATTTGTTATTTCTTGAATACTATCTATGCAGAGGAAGCTCATGCATCCCAGGCAGCAAAAATTTAGTATATGCATTGTCAGGTATTTTGGGGATCCAGTGGCAGCTACACAGACATTTGAGAATGTCAGTGATTATGGAGGCATACCTTTGAGGATATACTGTGCACTCCTCACACAGTTATCAGTAAATCACAAAATTAAAGGTATGTTTACTGAATGATGTTTAATAAGTGTATGTTTTAATTAATACGCTTACATTTCCTCTGAGCTGTCATTCATGGTTTTTCCTGAAGATTGCAGTCCTTTCAACTCACCTGCATTTCAGTGCTGTTTGTACATCAGTTATTTTAGCTGTGACCATTATGAGTAAACACCTCAAATTAATGTCAAGCTATTCCAGTATGCATTTACTGAAGAGCTTTTGAATATTGTTCTTCATTATAAAGTTCTTGGGTCCATCGGTTCAGTCTGCCAGGGCAGAATAAAATCTTCAGGGAGTTCAGAGCTGGGAAGTGACCTCAGCCAGCTGAGATTCAGCTTCAATTTTCTGCACCTTTAAAGCCCATTGATTCAACCAGATCTCCCACCTTCAAAACTTCTATAAGAAAAATCCCCCAGGCATTTTAAGTGGAAAACCGATAGTTCTGCTTATTAATTTGGTGTTTGTTTCCTAGCTGGGCTTCAGGACCACCTTTAACTTTTGAGAAAGGCCTGCATTGTGCTGTTATCTGACTGAACTCTTTCCCTTTCCATCTGTCTTCACTAAAAAAACTAGGAGTAGAAAACTGTTGCAGATGTTAGGCACAGCACTCAGCAAAAACCTCACTGAATGAAAAGGGATGACCTTTGTGCCCAGCTCCTTTCCTCTACTCCCTTCTTTCTGACAGTACTGTTGCATTTTAATCATCTCAGTTCTCATCTCACTGATGAATTCTCCCAAGAAATCAGTTTTGGGGTACAAGGCTAATACATGTTTTGAGAAGCCCATAATTCCCTTTTCTGGGTTCTGTATGATACATTCAGATTAATCAATCAACAGTCTCTGAATATTTAACAGAAAAACTTTATAGACACTTGATGCTCTTCTGAACCACCAGTAAGGTCAATTTATACTCCTGGCTACTGCTAGATATTCTATAAAAGTCAAAACAGTCTGTAGCATATGTAGAGGAACCATTCTGTTCCATTCCTAAATTCAACATATAAAACAACATGAATGAAATTTTCCATTATCTCCATCTGACTGAAGTATCCCAGTCTGCTCCTCACACTTTCCCTGATCTCCAGGAAAAATGAAAATATGGAAGTTTCTAAAGCAGGCATGTTCACTGTTTATCAGGAGTGGATTGTATTTTTAGATGCTCAGTTCTCTCCCCTGATTCTGCCCAAACTGTTATATCTACCTTTGCCCATTCTGTTTTAAAATTTAGAGATTCAGACACTTTATTTTTCTTTCTTGTTTAGTGGAAGATTCTTTAAATATTTTCTATTCTTCCAGTAAGTCTATTGTTGTCCTGCAAGAGGAGTGAGCATAAACTTCATGGTGCCTTTTGTACTCTTTTTTTGCTTGTACATGTGCATACAGTATCTGGAGGCTGCAAAGGCTTGTTCATGTTGCCATTTATCATTTTTTGTTTGCTTTTACAGATTGTTTGTAAGAGTTCATCATAACTGTTTATAGCAGTCCTAAACTCTCTATTAAATAAAATTTCAACAAGTGGTTGCCCTAGTTTCAAGGTTTCCTCTTAGTGGGGAGTCTGAAGTCAATTGCCTTTTTAGACATTCTTTCTCAGTTTTGATACTGTTTTCTCCTGATCATTACATCTTTACTATCTTAGATTAAAACATATATGTTTAAAATTATATTTTTCTTTAAAATGTTTAAAATCATATTAATCAAACTGTCATTACCACACTTGGTATTTCATACCAAACAAATATTGGGGATTTTTTGTGTGATTGCATGTTTAGCATTTGCATTCCCTAAGAGAGCCGTTTCTGGAAAATGGGAATAATGTCCAAAAACAACATGTAATTTTATTCCAGCATACACAAAGAAATCTATGCCAACCCTGAATTACAGACCTGACTGTTTTGTTTCACAATTTCTGATTTCTAATGAATTTATTTTATTACCTTTTTATTCTGGTTTTGCCCTTACTTGACCCCTTTGTCATGCAGTGCTCTGGTTTGTTTTTTTTAATTTTTCCATACCTTCATGCTCTTCAGGTATGCACTTCTTTGTTGATTCAGGTTTTATATTTTAGGAATAACCAATTGAACACTTCAAATAAGATTTCATCTGAATTCAAATTCTCATTCTGAGCTGCTGCAGTGGTTAGTCTGTTGTCCCCTGATCCGCACCTCCTCTTAAAGCATCCCCATAGTCATGCTACTCATTCCTGAGTATGTCCTCCGTGAATTAATTTTTTCAAGAATTCAGTCCTAAAAATGCGATATTTCTTTTTTTTTTTTTTTTGTACAAACATATATATTGCATATATTGTAATATATGTCTCTCATCTGGACATTTCTCATGTATTGCTCTTGATTGATTTGGGCATCAGGAAGGTTAAATAGTAACTTAGATTATTCATAGTCTTTGACAATTCTCCCTCAGGAGTGGGAGGGTTAGAACACTGAGTCTGTATGGGCTTACCTAAAGGGAAATCCTATATATTTTCAGTGGGTTTCTTTTTCCTGCTAGTACTAATGCATTTACATTTCATTTCACATGCTTGGTTTTTAAAACAAAAGTCTATGCCTCCTGAGGGGTGAACTAGCATTTTCTAATTTTTATAAGCACCTCCTCACACTGGTATTGTCTGTAAACACTTGCATCCTTCAGGACCAAAGAATGGAACTCAGTGTCAGTAAACAAATCACGTTTATTACCCCCTAAGTGTTTACAGAATGACAAAAATCAAGCCTCCAGAGAGTCATATTGTAAAAAGAAACAGTTGGTTTAAATTAGGTTTCCATGTGAAATATAGCTACTTTTTATGAATGTTGTGGGAACATAAACTGGAAAGACAATCTGCACACTGATAAAATGAAGATTTGATTTTTATTTGTTTAAATGCAAACAGAGTCACGTACTAAGTTGATTTCTGATTCTGGCATTAATTAATCATCAAACAGAAGTTGGTCATATGGTCACACTTAGGAAGGTGGGGGGTTTCTTTGTTTACTTCATTTGTGATCATGCAAACAGATAATGTGAACTACTTTAAATGATCAATGCATGTAGGAATTTGCAAATTTGAGCATTAAGAAATCTACCAGTTTTGTGAAATTAACCAAAACAAAAAGATTCCAGTTTATCAACTTTTACTGTCCGTGTTGAAAAAACAAGAGTCATTCAGTGTGAGGCTGAGAGTTGTAAGCCATGTAAATGAGAATTTACACTGCAGATCTCTCTGGCAGCTTTAGAAACCAGCACTAGCTTAAGCTATCCATTTTTTTCTGTGGCCTCAACGCATATTCAGAATATCTTATATTAAGATGCAGTAGTTATTTGTTTAATATAAGTTTTTCTGGAGTAGTTAATAAATTAACTGCTGTAATGGGAATATGTCTCTGTGTAAGTTGTGTTTGCAATGCATATGTGATTTGCATATGTGATTCCACCTATACACCATGAGCGTATAGGTGGAATTTTGTCTGATAACCTCCTGATGGAAAAAAAAACCCAGCAAAAACCTCCACATTATCTGTCAAGTATACATGAATGCTCCAAGTGACATTGCTTTGATTGTCTGTACTGTCTGGTTTATTTTACAAGGTGAGCTCGTGGGTTACCTGGCTGATCCTGACTGCAGGTTCTATGGAGGAGAAACGAGAAGTCTTCTCATATTTAGTACATGTGGCAAAATGCTGCTGGAATATGGGCAACTACAATGCTGTTATGGAATTTCTGGCAGGGCTAAGGTACTGGCAACTCTTTTTTCTAAATGGCTTTTCAGTGATGGATTACACTTCAGCCTCTGTTAAGCAGATGTCTCTGGAGAACAATGAATTAAACAGAAATCTGTGGCTAAATCACATCATCTCACAGTGACTTTCTAGTAATCCCTTCTGGAAAAATGAAGCATGCTAAACGCTTTTTTTTCTCAAAATGCGTTTGGAGACTCTTATCAGTTTTCATGGTATGTGCTGAATATGTTGCATTAGAAAACATCTTTCTTTTTTTTTTTAATAGAAATTTTTTAAATATGAGAAGAAAATGGGAAAGCAGTTGTGGTTTATCTAGTGAGCTACAACTAATGTAACTTGGGGTAGGAGTCTCCAGGACACAAGTGAAACATAATTGTGGTGACATTCTAAAAGGATCAGTTTTAAATGTAAAAAAAAAAAAAAAATCAACCCCAAAAGAACTAAAAAACCCCAACAAAACCAAACAGCCAAATCTGGTTTTTAATCCCTCCATTAACTGATACAGAGGGATGTTGGGATCTCAGGTTGTTGTGGTCTTATATAGAAGGACCTGCAGTATCTCCAGGAGAAAGAGAGTGTAGGGGGTTAAAGACAGTTCACTGCTTGCTTCCCTAGGGAATTACAGATTCCCCGTGCAGGGCTGGGTGAGCCAGAAAGCAGTGCCTTGGGACTGGCAGTTCACAGGGCAGCAAATGGGACTGAATGAGGAAGAGTTAAGATCAGATTTCCCTTCTCTTAGCTTTAACCCTCCTTGTATGTAGTGTTTGTGTAACAAAGCTCTAAAGCATTGCTGTTTTTTGTGGTTTAGTAAGGACTCTGATCGAGCTATGTTTATATTTTTGGTATATAAAACATATTTGAAACACTCATAGGCGTGGGGAATACATTTTGGCAGAATACATCCACAATCTCCAAGCTGTGTAATTTATGAGGGAAAATGCAAAGCCAATTAAGGGATTAATTTTATCTCTAAAGCATCTGCACAACGCAAGGGAAAGAGAGGAGAGGAAGGCCAGTGCTGATTAGCAGTGTTTCTGGGACAGGGACAGAAAGTGGGGTTAAGGGCACTCTATTGTGAGCATTTCTATAGACCTTTTGGTATGTCTGAATCCAGAGGTGGGCAGAAAGGCCATATAATTGCACAGACATACAACTCAGACGGTGAGAGAACTGCCAGAGGTACTCGCAGCTCTTGGAGCTATTTCTGTTTGAAATCGGAGTTTCTTGTCAGCTGCAGCTCTGCACTGGTGCCTGAGACCTGAAACATGGTCCTGAGTTCCTTATTTCCACGAAAATAAATAATTTGTGGGCAAAACAGAAAAAAAACCCCCTATTTAATTTTGTAAAAATACATTTAATTAAAGAACACCAGCTTTTGCTAACTTTATGGATGGTTCATAATATAATTACAGGAATTTGTAAGAAACAGTCTAGTTTATCTTCATGTCATTTCCTTTATCTTTTCTTATTTCTCTAAATCCTTAGAAATTTCAGGCAATGACACAATGAAAGTGTTAGAAGGCCTGCTGGTATATCTTATACAGCTGGTCTTTTGTTAAAATGTGACATGTTGCTCCAGTAGATCAGACTGCTTGTGTCTCCTTTTTAGCTTTGTTCATTAATAGTTCTGAGGGCAGAAATATCTTAAAAATAATTACCTTGATTTCATTAATTCATTAATTTGTTCATTCATTCATTCGTTCATTTCTGAGCGATGATAGTTTCCTTTATTACATACATATATGCTGTGGGTGTTGGACTTGAAGGTAAATTGTTTTAAATTATTTTAATAAATATTGTGATCTCTTTTTGCAATAGATCAAGAAAAGTTTTAAAAATGTGGCAATTTATGGACCAGTCTGATATTGAAACCATGCGAAGTCTGAAAGATGCTATGGCACAACATGAGTCATCATCTGAATACAGGAAAGTGGTCAACCGAGCACTCAATATTCCAGGCTGTAAAGTTGTTCCTTTCTGTGGTGTATTTTTAAAGGAGCTTTGTGAAGTTTTGGATGGAGCATCAAGCCTCATCAGACTCTGTCCACGATATAACTCCCAAGAAGAAACATTAGAGGTAAATGAGATAAGGATTTGTAGCCATCCAGTGCTTTATTTTATGTAATTTTATACAAAGGCATCATCTGATTAAAATTTTCTAAACCAGATTGTTACTAGGCTGTTCAGTTACATGGACCTTGATTTAATTCCCATAGATACTTAGCAATTTAGATTTGGTTGTTTATACATAGTTCAATATCAGAATACTGAGAAATTATATTAGTAGCAAAGGATCATGTTAGATGAAAAAATTAAGAACTGAGGCTTTTTTAAAGTTTTCAGGAATTACTGTAATTTACATTACTTGATTTGTGAAGTCATTTGGTCCAGTTTGGATTGTGAGTAGGCACAGAATCCCGTTGGAAGCTAATAGAAAATATGCGCTAAAATATTCTTAGTTGTAAAAATTTCTACAGTAGATGACACAAGATTCTATTTATAACTATACTAATCTTTTAGATATCTCTAGTTTGTTTCAGATTACAGTGGACAAGATAATTTCTTGCAACGAGTAGGTCAAGATGGTTTGAATAATCCAGAAAAAGAATCAACAACAAACAGTATCTTTCAAACTATCCGGAGCTGCAATCGCAGTTTGGAATCTGAGGAGGGTGAAGATAATGTTAGTGAAGGGAGCAATTCAAGAAAAAACTCCTTGAAGGACAAAAACCGGTACCAGGAGGTTTCATTTTATTTACTATCATCACATGTGTATTTCATGGTTTTAATTTTTAATTTCCTTTTACCAAGGCTTGCTTTTAGAAATAAGGGCAACTTTAACACTGTTCCTTGTATTTATCTTCTTCAAACTCAGAGCTTTTCTCCACTGCAGTTACTCTAAGTATCTGATACTCAACTGCTTGGAAACTCTCTGTATAGTTATATTTTCCCTCATGATGTAATTACTTCCTTTCATGATAAGAGTAAATCCTTTTCGTCTTACACATACAACTTTAAAAATCCACAGTTACAATTACAGTCTTGATCTCTAGTGACAGGAATAGCACCAGGACATACTTGTTATCAGAGCTCAGAACATAATATTCTACATGCTCAGGCAGTGTTCTGCCCCCTTCAAAATAAAGGTTATTTATTATCCTTCAAAAGACCTGTTCTTCTAAGGGCATATTAGTTAGAGGCTTTTAAATTTTGTTAAGAAAACATTTGTGAGTACACATTTTGAATTCTCAAGTCACTGTAGTCCTGCTATTTTGCAAAGAATTTTACTTCATTATGCTCTATGTCAAAAGTAGTCTCTGATTTCACTTTGAAGACCTGATATATTCTGTACTATTCACCAGCAGGATATATGGTAAATGCCAAGTTTAAGACATCCCATGATCTTCTAGAATCTTGCTTTGCAATGAAGTCTGATTGCAAAGCCCATGTAGACATAAGTGGGTCAGCTTTAAACTAAGTAACTGTTAGACAAACATCAAATTAAGTAACAGAACTGTACTGTTCTGAGACAAAACACTGTAAAATTACATGAGGGTTTGCATAAAAGCAACCTGCTGAAGTCACTGCTGGAGTTATTTTATTGATAATGTCTGTCAGAAATCCATATGTTCAGAACCATCCAACGTATTTCAGCTACTTAAACATAAAATCTAATAAATGGCCACCTGAGAAGCAACTACCATCTTCCTGCTTAAAATGCATTTATTTCATTAACATGTAATTCTAAATTTCATTTCAAATAAATAATCATTATTTCCTGAAAGCATGGTTTCTAATAGAATTATTCACATCTGGCTTTAGTTGCTTCTGGGAATTGGAGCAGTAGATTAAGGCAAGAAAGACAGACCCACTTCTCTGTCCATTTATGTTATCTCTTAACTTACTTCAGTCCAAATACTTTCTTCCAGGCATTATTTTTTGTTCATTAATGTGCTTCAAAATCAACTTGCAAATTGCAGTTCAAATGGAGAATAAGCTAGACAAATCAACATTGCACTAGGATGAACAAAATAGAAATTAAATGTAAAAGAACGGTATGGAGAAAATTGAGTTCTTTTTTTTATGTGTTTATGAAATAATTTCTTGGTAAATTAGTTATTTGTGCTTTATATTTAAATATAATCTAGTAAATTCCACTCTTAAGTAGGAATTAAATAAAAAAAAAACCAATATGAATCTGAAATGAAAGTTTAAAATTCAAATGAACAAAACTGCAGACAGATATTTAAAGTTATGTTTCCTGATTCAGAGCTACTAACTACTCAGTTAGTAATATCGTACTTATGATGCAGTAAGTTCTGATTTTAGCAGTAAAATGACTTGTAGGAGAATACTTGTGAAAGTACTGATTTAGCTCAAGTACTTCATAGACTAGAAATTCCTTATGCACTTGCCATCTCTTTCCTGGGCATGCAGAGAACTGGGTAAAGCACAGGAGCAAATTGGTGCAGAGGCAGAAGTTCAATGTTCTGTTGTCCTTCTTGTATGGAGGCTGTAATTTTTGATTTATTTTTAATTCTATAAACTGATAAAGCGTTCTAAGGAAGAAATTTAGTCCTCTTTCTTGTGAGACCTGTCATATTTGCATACAGTGTTATAAAATCCAACTTATATCATGAATATGTATTACCTGATAATTGTAACAATGTGGTCATAAAGGCAGAAAAATACACTGCATAACATGTTCCTCGTTACTTTATAATTGCAAGAAAGATTTTCAATTAGTTTTTCTTTTGATGATTTGGATTAGCATTGTGGAACATGAACACACCAAAGCTGGTAGGTTAATTTGATTTGAAGAAAATGAAAGGCATCTAATAGAATCAGTGGGCAATGGGTATAATTACTTTCCTGGTTGAGTAAACAAATAAGCTCTATCGTTCTGTAACCAGTGACCCATCTAATCACCCTGAATTTCTGTACATGCCAGATAAATATCAAATATTAATCTTTATTAGAACTCTATTTTGACAGTTCTCAAATAAATAAAGATAGGTGGGAAAATACAAAAAACCTCCAGGTTTAAAATACAGTTTTTATGGATTTTTTAATCAATTGATCTATTAAGATACTCTAAACTTTGATGCATTGTTTTCTTAGCCTGATCTCATCCTCATGTTTAAGATGAAACTTTTCTAATTACAGTAAATAACTTATAAAATAATAGGGGAAAACCTAATTTTTTTCTTTTTGCCTACCCTGCAATTTTCTCCTCTCAAACTGCAACCTGTCTTACTGTTTTCTTTATCTTTTCATTTCCTTGTGTCTCAGTGCAGCCCATAGAAAGAAAGCCTCTGGTTCAAACCGAGTTCTGTAAGTGTTCTCAGTAATCGATGGCAGTGTCGTTTTTGGCAGCTCCTGTCAGAGTTCTGTTTCTGTACATGGTTATGTGTGTGTGCCTGGCTCACCTGCTGCTTTACAGTTTAATCTGTGGCCTGCAACATGCTATCAAATGTGAAATAAGGCAGAAACAAAGTTCTGTGATTGCTGTCCCCGCTGTACTAGGCTCTTTCAGCCATCCACACCTTGTCTCAGGATACATTTTCTAGCATTTTTACAGAGACTTGTTTGGTTGTTTTGAGGACATAGAGGAGGAAGAGCTGCTTCAGTTGTTTGCTTAATTTTAAAATGTTAATCTTGTATAATACAGGTAAATATTTCAATTTACATGTGTCTGTAAGACTCTAGGAAGACAATTTATATCAGCTCAGTTACAATGTGTGGCCTTTATTTTTAGAAATATTCCTTAAAGAAAATAGTTATTCTGTCAGTCCCCTCACCACAAGCAATAAATCCTCAGCCTATTGGCCACTTTTTTATAAATTTGGCAAAGAGTTGGAGACCTCACCAATTCATAAATTAATTTTTGGCCCAGGTAAAGAAGAGTTTTAGGGAAAACTAATGGTCATCTGTACAGTTTAGCACTGGGAGATAGAGTATGTGACTCGTTCTGAGTCACAGCATGAATCATGTTCTGCTCAGTTGGTAGGACAGGGGCAGGAACTGAGAGTACTGTAGCAATATGAAGGGGAAGCACAGAGGGTATTAGGACAAGATGTCTTGAAGGATATGTAGAGGAAGATGGTTTGTATTTTATTGGCTGGATATCCTTAGGAAAATGTGCTTCTTTAGTTCTGTTGTGCACAGAACAGTTTTTTCTTTTTTTATGTTCACTGAAGAAGTATCAAAATATTGAACATTTATGCACTCATACATTTTAGAAGCTTCTTCAGGGAAGGCATTTTATTTAAACTGCCTCTTCTGTTAGTTCAGTATTGCTGCTCTGTATCTGCTGTTTCTAATTATGGCAAAATATTTCAAACATTTCAGTTGCTGCCTACAAGTTTTATGTTAATATTTTCATGAACTAAAATTAAATTTTCTGGTGGAAAATATCTGACAAAATTCTTCCTGCATTCTTATAAGGAAGGTGTGTGTTTTAGCCACTATTTTACTAGTGTTAATCAGAGTATTATATAATGTGAAAGGTCTGCACCTTAAATCAGTAATAGAACAGAGATTAGAAGTCTTGTCTTCAATCCACTAGATCCTGCTAACAGTTTTCACATATGGTACCTTATATTTCAACTGAAGCAATCTTATGCTGTGAATTTAAAAACTGTAATCACCTGGCTTTAAGAACCAATCAGACATCTCTATTTTTAGTGCAAAGTTTGGAAAGTTTTAAGAAAATGTAATTATATTGTTACAGCATCTATTAATTCAGAATTCCAATAACATAAATTGTAGTATTATAAAAGCTACAGAAGTTCCTGTAGGTTGCAATTATAGTGATGATAATGTTCTACTTATTTAAACTGCAGCAGAAAAAGTATTCATCAATCATAGCATAAATCAGCACATGTATCATTAAATATAAATCTCTCATCTTTGCTCACATGCAGATTTATAATTGGAGACCTTTCAGATTCTGAAAGTGACATATTTGAGCAGTTGAAGGAATGGGACACAAATTCAACAGAAGAGCAACAAAAGGCTTTCTGCCATGGGATAGAACTCATTCCCTGGTACGTGTTATCTATCAGGGCTGATGTCCATCAGTTCATGCAACAAGGGGCAACCGTCATTCATTATGACCAAGAGACACATCTCTCAGCACGGTGCTTTCTTCAGCTTCAGCCTGACAATAGTACTTTGACTTGGACAAAACCCACAACAGTTTGCCCTGCAAATGCTAAGGCAAAACTGAGTGTGCTGGGTAATACCGCTGAGCTTGGTAAATACCAGTTTCTTGGTAATACTGGACTGGTGGAAGGTTTTTTGGACTTGTTTTCAGCCAAGGCTGTATATATGGGACACTCGGGCATTGATATGCACACTGTGTGTGTTCAAAATAAACTCTGTAATATGTCCCTTGAAGAAAATGGTATAACACTACTTTATGGACTTCAGACTACTGACAATAAGTTGCTGCACTTTGTTGCTCCAAAATATACTGCCAGAATGCTGTATGATGGATTGCTGGAATTGACTAAAGCTGTAAGAAAAATGAGGAAATTCCCTGATCAAAGACTACAGTGGCTACGGAAACAGTATGTCAGCCTTTACCAGGTAAAAGATGCTGTGATTCTGTATAAGAAAATTTCAAAGATATCAACAACTTAATGTAATCCAGTTAGTTTCTGTTGTAAGTAAGGTTCAATTAAAGATGAGCACCAGATCTCCAACTTTGTAACACTCTTTAAGTCAATAAGATCTGATTCTCCAAACAATGTTATGTCAAACCTTACAAGTTTTGAATACATTGAGGTTAATTTTTTTTTTTCTTATAAAGCTCTTTATATGTTTGGAGTTTTGGAATAAGTATTTTATTAAAGAAAAAGCAATGACAGTACTTGAAAAGAAAGCTGAAATACTGAGCGATTAGAGTTAGGGCCAAAAAACCCCCACAAAACAGCAAACAAAATAGCCCTTTGGTATTCATGCAGTAATTAAAAATTGCCTCCTCTTGATGTTTTGTCTTTCACTGGTTCTTCAGAGATGTCTGTATTATTGCTTTAAAAAATGTGTCTGTTCTTATTCTCCTTGTTTTGTTAACACTGAGAATTTTTGTAGGAGGATGGAAGGTTTGAAGGCCCAACTTTGGCTCAGGCTGTTGAATTGTTCGGAGGCAGACGATGGAGTGCAAGAAACACAAGCACGGGATCTCTCACCAAAAGCACTGAGAAACCTAATGTACAGAGAAACAACACTCTGGGAATAAGCACAGCTAAGAAAAAGAAGAAAGTACTCATAAGGGTAGAATATTTTGTTATTTGTGTATTTAGTTGCTTATCTGGCTGATTTGTTTCCTTCTTGTAGTTACTGTGTAGAGAACTGTGTTCTGAACCAGAGGAAAAAAGTTAGATGATAATTTTAAAACTGTTTATTGCAGTTTCAGATTTTGTGGTTATTGTTTTCCAGTAGTTTTGGTTTCTTTTCTCATGCTTGAAGCATTCTTGGGACGTGTAGGTGCTGGGGCTAGCAGAAGGGGACAGAATCATCTTGCAACCTTTAGATACTGCCTCAGTATAAAGGTAAAATATTGTTATAATAAAAATATTAGCATGCAAAGTGACGTCTGGAGGCCGATGTCACTTTTTAAAATCGTTTTTATTTTCATATTTCCAGAAATATTACCACAGTTATTCCACCTCATGTTAGCATGCTTTTGTCTTGTGGGTGACAGTAACATGACCTAGTCTGGTAGTCTTCTCTTTTTTCCTGGACTCAACTGCTTTCAGCAATAGGCAGGAGAGAGGATAATGCAGGAACTAGCAGCTCTACACTACCCACATGTTCTTCTAGTAGGCAGGCAGGGAAGATCCTTAAATGGGAAGAGCCATCCTCTTTAGGGCTCCTGTGCACCAGTGAAATAGTGTAAAACCAGCTGAAACATTTTAGAGAGATTCAATCATTGTCATCTTCTGTGTGATGTCAAACTGAGGTAACAGCCAGTGGTCCCACACTTCACTATCTATCCTATTTAAGTTGTCTCTTTTCTACTGGTATTGGTCTTACAGGAGTCTGTTTCATAAGGAATAGCTGATTTGCCTCATGGTTTTGTTACAGGTTGAACTGACAAAGAATGGAAATAGTAGTGGGTTTGGGATGTTTATTATGGTGCTCATTATTTCCAGGGTGAAAGTGGAGAGGCCACTGATGATGAAATGGCAACACGGAAGGCAAAAAGCTGTAAGGAATATCGTAATAGAAGTGGCTCAGATCCTCAAGATATTGATAAACAAGAAGAACCAGGTAGATATATTGCTTCAGTACTTAAAAGTCCATCAGGTTTTTGCTCAAAGTCTTTTTACGCAGACATTTTTTTGGCATGTTAAAAATAAATTTATTATAATAAACCTACTTTTGCAGTTGAAACTCCAAATCCTGTAAGCTTTTAAATTAATTTCTGTAGTTGTTAACAATTGTTCTTTCATTTAGTTTCAGTAGCACTCTCTTTCCATTAAGATGAAATGTGTCTGTAAGTGTTGTTCAGTTTGGACTTTTTTGGCTGTTTTGGGGCAAATCTAGAATGCTGTTAGTGTCCTACTCTTTGTTAATGAATTGGACAAAAACATTTTTATTAGGCCAGATGTAATTGTGATGAAAACTTCTGTTTTCTCCATAGATCAAAACATTATTATTAATGCTTCTCCATCTAACAACCTGCCATCAAGAAGAGCTCACTCTCTGACAGCATCCGGGTCTCCAAACTTAGGAGCTACATCTCCTTCACCAGCAAGACCAGTCTCCTCTCCTGTAATATCTTCAAGCAAGAGTCAGTCTAGGTAAGGATTTAAATCAATGCTTTGATTTAAAAAGAAAAGAAACTACTGCTACTTATCGTCAAATGTGGGTTTTGTGCCAAACTAGCAAAATCTGACAAAAACAATGCCAGAAATGCCATTAGCCTTTTTGTAGACATCTAAAACACATTGTAGGACAACACAGGACATTTAAGCTGAAATACCATGAACCTGAGGATGCCTTTGTAGCAAGTCCCCGAGCAGCATGCTTGAGTTTATGTCTGTTACAGAAGCAGATTGGAATGCTGTTCCAAAACTACACAAATGTGGAGTTTAACTCTTTATAACTATGTTTTGGAGAAGATATGGAGAGACATCTTCATAATGCAAATCAACAGCAATGTTATAGATGTGTGAACTGAAGCTCTGAGGTTTCTCAGCACAATTCATTTCTACCTGGGGGAATAATAACTTTTGCTGACATTTCTGGTGGTGATTGCAGTATCGTCTTGGGAATCAGAGGAACATATTTGAAATCTTTCTCTTATAAGCTTCTTTTCCTTGAACATTCATCCTTTTTATGTCACTTAGGCAGTGTAAAAGTTCATTATGTTATGTGCAGTGGTATAGGGCACTATTGTATTAATTGTATAAGTAGTAATGGTGGTGATGGTAGTGATTACAGTAATAATATAACAACCATAATATTTCAGGGATGTGGATGGTACTTTATAACATACAAGAAGACATTCTAAACAGAGGCTTTCCAGTACCTTTTAAGAGAATGAATACTGAAATATGGTTATGAGTATGAATCTTGGGGGTTCCACAAGAGCAATAGTAAAAAATGAAGGAGATTACTGATGTTGATGTAACATTACTTTTGAAGAGATGTGTCTTGTGGAATGGTTCCTGTTGCGTATTTCTTGGCGATTTTATTTATACTTAAATAGTTGGATTTAGCAACAGGTGTGAGTAGTAGAGCCACGTGTGGACAGATGTGGTTGGCTTAACACTGCTTAACACTGCTTTCTGAGATTCTTACCGTGTTTTTTACTTTTTGTTCCTTGCTATCATTCACAAACTTGGATTTGTTTCTCTAAACTTTTATCTTTTTATTTTTTTTTGAGTATTAGAAGAGATTTCTTTTACATTAAACTGAAGAAATACTGCTTTACCACCTCTGGAAAATGCTTCTGTGTTTTGCAAATCTGCTTTTTACTTTTATGCCAAAATGCTTGTTGTTCTCTAAAAGAGATTAAAAGGCTCAATGGGGAACTCACATTCCCCGGGGAAGGACAGCTAATGTTCTTTTAAATCCTCTCAGTCCTGGGTTTCTGTACAGATCCCTGCATAGCTTAGCACTGTGGGCCTCCCCAAGTTATCACAGGTTTTCCCTGGCAAAGTTTCCCCAGCAACTCCATACATCCCTTGGTAGAGCACTCCTAAATTTGCTGTGACACTTCTTGCTTAAACTTGCTGTGACCCTTCTTGCTAAAATTTGCTGGGGATACAGCTATATGGCTGTTTCATCTGTCCCGAGGAAGTCTTCTCAGATCAGACTTACATGTTTTACCCATTACCTTGACCTAATTTTTGTGAACCATTAAGAGATTTGGAGCACTGGAGAGAGTTTTATTCTTGTTATTTAGTCTGTGGACCCTTGCTAGGTCTGAATTGTGCTTGCCAGTTTTCATGTCTGTGGACACTTCACATGTGCCTCAACTGTTATCAGTGAGTCCAAGTTATCAAATAATTGACTCTCTGCTTTTCTGCAAAGTCTTGTAATCTTCCACCTTATATATGTATTACTTCACTCCTGGGATATCTTTTATAGTAAACCAGCTGGTTGCCTCCAGTATAGAATTTAGGTGCTCTTCTGGGAATAGGTGCTCCAGAGACTTCTGTAATTAGATGTCTGGATGAAGAGCTTACTCAGACTCAAACCATCAAACTGTCTTGGAGGACACAGTAAGGTTTGTACCTTCAGGCAATCCACCCACAGTCATGGCATGTCCTATGGCTTTATGTTGCATTAAATATATGGCAATCTGTCAGGCAATAACCTGCCATAGCTTATTTCAGCCGTTTCAGATATAAAACACACCAAACATGAAACAGTGGCAGGATGGTTGTCTGTGGCAGCACAGGTAGAAGTGAGGGAGGAGCAGACTGGGACAGTGGTTCACAAGCTGTGGTACATAAAGACTGTGAGCAGCACAATGTTTTTACTTGAAGCTGCTACCCTTAACCCTGGTGATATGCAAGCAAAGTAAGTTTGGGAACCCACACAGGCTGAACACAGCCATTTTTTGTTTCTCTTTTGCTCCATTTTTGTTGTTATTCTGCAGTCCAGTTATATACTTAGTTATACCCTATAGGTTTTGCCAGTATCATTATAAATTAAGATAAAATGAAGTATCCGTTTTCCAAAGTAACAGAAAGTTTGAATGACCTAGATAATGAAATAACCTCGGAAAAACCGGATCCGCTGGGAGTGCTTATACACATTTGTATAAGCACTGCACAGATGACAGCTAATGAGGAGATGAGCAGAGTTTAGTAATTCAGATTAGCATCTGGATTTAGGCTCAAATGCTGATAAGGCTTTGTAGTTGGAGGCAGTGTTGGACATGAGCTGGTTGTGCACATTAGGTGCGTGCACAATCCCTCACAGAACCTGGAGCTTAGGAGAGCAGTGGGCAGAGGGTCCCACCAGCAGCACAGAAAGCTGAGCTGGTGACAAGTGATTGCTAGGTCCTGCAGTGTAGCAGGAGGGCAGCAACAGAGAATTCTAGTTCTTTTTCTCTTGCCATGTAGTATGTGCATCATTTTACCTGAGCAGTAAATTAGAACATCTCCACTAAATGAGAAGTGCTAAATAAAATAACATTTTTTAAAGTGGAAAAATATTTCTAAATATAATGATAAAAGTTGAAAAAGAGGAGGACCTGGCTATCTTTATTGTACATTTTAAATAATAGTAATTCTTATGGGTACAGAGTGAAAAATGGTATTTTTCCATATATAACTCATAACCTTGATATTCCTGATGTCCTTACAAATAATTTACATTCAGATAAATTCTTGTACAATCCAAATGTCCAGATGATTTCTGAACACAGGTAGCCTGCAGCTGTCATTCTTTTCAAAGCAGATGTGCATATGACAAATTTCCAAGGTCTTTGGAAACCTAGTGCCACCTGTAAGGTGGAGGAATCAGGAGAGAGGGTGATAAGGCCGCTGGAAAATGGACCACAGGATATGGAAAAGTAGAGAAGTGGGCTTTTTTTGTGAACAGAGAATAAACTGCCTCTCTCATTAACTGTATACAGGTGTAATCCAGACTGCTACTAATTGCAGTTTTGGTTGTTGGTGATGGTGAGGTTTTCTTGGGGTTTTTGGCTTTTTTTTTTTAACAACCTGTATTACCCATGGAATGACTCTGGAAGACAGTCTTTAGTGATCAGATCTAGGAAAATGTTGAACATTTTCTTCTGCTGTTGGTCTTCCATTTGGTACTCTACAGATCCAGTTTGTTTTCTGGAGTCTAGAAACTTTCCTCATCGTGGTTTATTTTTCTTGTCTGATAAAAATGTTAGGAATTATTTAGTCCAAAAAAAGTTATATGCAGTATGTCAGTACATGCCATAATGATGTCAAACAAATTGAATGTTATCAACTAAAGTAGATAGTATTTTTTTCTACTTCTAAGTCACATTCTGTTTTCAATTATATGCATTCATTCCAGCCCAGGAGTAAATTGAGGATTCTGATCTAGCATATTTGGGTAAAAAGTCACCTGCTTGCAGGCATGTCTTCAGGAAGACTGGACAACAAGCTGGTCCTGTTTTTCCATCGCAGCTGTTGGAACTATTTGTACTGAACCTGATGGCAGAATTCATAGATTAATGGATTTGTGTATAACATTACAGAGCAATTAAGTCTGACACACGGTTGCCTAGTCTGATATTTTGAAACAAATACTGCAACTTCTGCAGTTCTGGTTTAAAGCAGACAGTTGTTTGCTTAGATCCCTCCCTTTTCAGGATGGTGGTGCTAGCAGATTCCATTCCTGCAGGGTGTGTTCATTGCTGTTTAGGCCCAGGAGGGGGCTCAAGAGCTCAGCCCCTCATTGCATATTACTACATGTAATTCACTGAGGACTTGTTCATGCTTCTCAAGTGAGGGCCTAACTACACTTGCAAGTGTAAATCTGTAGTAGGCTGAGGATTTTGGGAAGTCACTTTTGGAAATGTACTGGTTCTATTTCAAAAATTTTATTCATCTGCACAACTTAGAGTAATGATTGCAGTTACAGAGCATTATTACTCTTGGTATTGGTATTACTCAAATCAATTAAAATAAATAGCACCAAACAGCTAGTTGTTTCCGTGATCATTTTCTGCCTTTTCTCTCAAGAAATTCCAGTTTACTTTCCTTCCTTCAGTCCACAAAGCTGAAAGGAGGAAATCATTAGAACCTCATTTGGTTCTAATGGACAGTAGCCCTCCAGGGGCTGCTGTCCAATCTTAACAGAAGAAGAAGAGAACTGTGGTTTGACCTGTCTTTGAGGTATCTGATGACAACCCCAACCATTCTTGGGAAGCATCCTAGAAGACCTGTGGACTGGGAAACAATGAGAGTTGAATGCCAGGAAAGGGGAAGAGTTATGCTTCTTAAAATCTGCACCTTCAATGCTCCCAGATATAAGAAACCCCGGGTGCATAAGGAAAATACTTGGTTTTCCTCTGTATCCAGTCAGAATATTAGCATTTTATTTTGACAGCAGAGCTTTAAGGAATTCTGCTTCCATTTTATTTTTTCCATGGCAAATCTTTAATGAACTTCATAAAGAGCCTGCATTACAAGAATAATGGCATTGTTTTCTTCAAAGGCAAAACAAGAATGCTTTCATTTGTGCCATATGCATCAGGCTGTTTTGCACATGAAAGCTTTAAATACCATGCATATACATTATTTATTCTGGCAAAGTTTGCAGTTGTCTTGAGGGAAAAGAGTAGCTGCTGTAAAACAAGAAGGTACAAACTGTCATTATGCATCTTGTAAGATACTGCTTTTTTTGCTTCTTCCAGATATTGGTAATAAATGCATTAAGGAGAGCACAAATAAACTATTACTACAGTAATGCAAAATGTTTCAATAAAAAGAAGTTTAGTGTACCCAAACTACAGCAGTCTTTTTCTGATTTAGCACATGGAGCAGCAGTAGCTGGCATGGCCGCGTTAAAGGAGGAATGAAGGGGTTTCAGAACTTCATGGTGTCTGATAGTAACATGACTTTTGTGGAATTTGTAGAGCTCTTCAAATCTTTCAGGTAAAATATATCTTTATTTTGTACTGATTTCATTCATCCAAGTTTATAAAAGAGCAAAAATTGAACTTTCCTACTCTTTTTGCAGCGTCCGTAGCCGCAAGGATCTGAAAGACCTTTTCGATATCTATGCTGTACCTTGCAACCGATCCGGCTTAGACCCTGCTCCACTTTATACTAATTTGAAAATTGATGAAAATAGCAGTGGATTCCAGCCTGATTTAGGTTTGTTAAAGAGGAAAATTGAGCTGTTAGACTGCTGAGCAACTTCGGTTATTGGCCTTAATAAAAAGTGTCTCAGTCTCAAAAAGAACCATCAGTTATAAGTTTAAGTAGAGGACTGCTGCCATGCCTTTGCTAAGCAGGATATAAGACAGAAATGAAGGGAAGGAAAAGTATTCTGGCTTTCCATTAGCCAAATATATTTGTAACCGATAATAGCAGAGGCATAAAACTTGTTGCTGAGTGGCTGAGCTCAAGGATCTGTAGAGATTGCAGGAGCTCTGGAAGGGCTAAAACACTAAGCAAAAATAGGGAGTAGAAATGAGGAAGCTGTGTCCTGTGTCTCATTTGGCTGTTTTTTCCTTATCTGATTTCCTAGTGGATCTGCTTTATGTGGGATAAGGGGAAGGAAGCCTCTGTCCCTCTTTACATTCCCCAGTTACCATAATCTCAGTCTGAACTTTGGCCACATTTAAAGAAAACACTCTTTCTGCCAAGCATCTTGTGGGGAGGGTGCAGAACAATTGGCATAGGGGACTGGAAGAAGATAAACAGTGATTGAACAGGAAGGGTATGGGGTTGCACACAGTGAAGGAAAGGCTTTGGGGCTGTTCGTGGTGGTGAGGGGAAGCAGGAGAACCCTGGGTGACTGTGTGAGAGGCTGTGGATCCACGTTCAAGGTTCCAGGATTTTGTTCATAATAATTGAACACGTATAGTCTGCTCCCATGGACTCTTGTTCTTTTGTTAATGAATAAAAACAAGATGAGTTTGTTCTAATTTACTATGTCAGTGCTAAAATATTCAGTCAGATACTCGTGCACATTGTATATTGCATTATATTCTATACAGTCTATATAATACACATAATTATTTGGCTTATAATTATATTCTCTTATTTTTCTTTCAAGATTTGTTGACTAGAAATGTTTCAGACCTTGGTTTGTTCATTAAGAGCAGGCAGCAGCTATCAGACAACCAGAGGCAAATATCTGATGCTATTGCTGCTGCCAGCATTGTTACCAATGGTACTGGAGTTGAAAGCACATCGCTGGGAATATTTGGAGTAGGAATCCAGCAGCTAAACGACTTCCTAGTGAATTGCCAAGGAGAACACTGTACCTATGATGAAATTCTCAGTATTATACAGGTCTGTAATACAAATATCTTGTAATTTCTTTTTACTTGAAATCCTGTTACTTCCATTTTCCCCACTACCATTGTCTGCCAGTCAGAATAGCATCTGCGTGGATACCTCCTTTCACACTGATATTGTCACTACCGTTTACTTGAGTTTGAAGTTTAATACTATCTTTATTTTGGGCTAGAAAATTTTATGGATGTCCATAAATAAATTCATTTTAAAATCATGCAAATAAAGAGTTCTATTGGCTATGTGTGCTTTAGCAGGGAAGGGATGTCATCACTTGGGAAAAGTATTTGTGACAGTTCATTGTTTTCTCCTTGTCTGTGACCACATTTGGTTGAGCTTAACCCTAATTTGGAACTTAAAAAAACACCATTTCCACATGATTTTATTTTTTTATAAAAAAATTTCCAGAGCAAACATGGACATTTTATTCCCTTTTGTACAATTGCTGAAGATTTTAGAAAGTGTATAGAAAATTTTTTATTCCTCTAGACGTGCATAATTAATATGATTCGAGATTAACCCCCCCACTTGGCAGTTAACAAAGGCTGAAAACTGTAGCTTTCAACTATCAACATGTAATATAAAACTGCAAAGTTTAAAAGCCAGAAATTCTAAAGAAACATCAAGTTAGACTACTACAAGTCTCTTTAATTTGAAATGGTGGTATGTTGTGTTTAAGCATAGTAGATAGGAGTGGGATCCTGATCACAGACCCTTCTTAATTTCAGCTTAAGTACTGATTCTGCTTTCAACAGGAGGTTGGATTAGATGACCTCCCAACATCCTTTCCAACCTGAATGATTCTATGATTTACAATTATGAGTTCAGTATATTTGTTTAGTGATTTGTAAAACACAGTTTGCAGGCACATAATTATCCACAAAAAGACTGGTTTTACATACTTACTGGTGAGTGCTATGAGCAGACTACACTATGAAAACATGACAAAGACATATTTCTAAGAATTGTTATGATGTGTCTCTTAAATTTCTTCCTCCTCATAGAAATTTGAACCCAGTGTGAATATGTGCCAGCAAGGGCTGCTATCTTTTGAAGGATTTGCAAGGTAATTACATATGTGTTAATTTATGTATCTATATCTCTATCTATATATATATCTTTCAAGATGATACTAGGGTATTGATGTTTGTATGACAGTCACAAAATGCTAAGCACAGCATAAAATTTCCTCACATCTTCTCACTTCTAGATTTTTGATGGATAAAGACAACTTTGCCTCCAAAAATGATGAATCACAGGAGAATGCTGAGGACTTGAACTTTCCTCTCTCCTATTACTACATAGAATCTTCACACAACACTTACCTTACTGGCCATCAGCTTAAAGGGGAGTCCTCAGTAGAGCTCTACAGCCAGGTATGCAGGATTGGATCACTGTGCAGCTTTCAACATGAACTTGTTTGTTTTACTGGCAAGTTGCAGAAACATGACCTTTTTGCTTTGAAAATCTAGATGTCCTAAACCTCTGCTTGCAAAATGTTGGAAAACATGATGTGTGGGAAAGCTGCCTGTAAGCACAGTTGTGCTCAAATGCCTTTTCTAAGGCAAAAAAAATGGGTTTAGTTTGAGATTCATAGCATTTAGACACCAGTCGGTCTGACCCAACCTACTAAAATTAGACTTTCCCACAGGAAAGACTGATCTAATATTTTAGTTCATTCAGATGTCAAAAACACTACTGAAATACTGTACATTGCACTGCTAGGACAAATTTCAGATGGAACTATAACTTCTAAAAACATTACTTCTAGGAATGTTCTACAGGTTTTTAGACTTTATACCTTATTGGCAGTGAGCAGGAACAAAACGATTTCTCCCTAGGACTTTTGGTTCTGTGTTTGTTTGTATATATATTTTTTCGTGTCTGTATTTACAAAATGCTAGAGAAAGCATCGAACTTCCTGTCAGTAGTGTTTTCATTACTTTAAATGTTAATGACTCATCATTGAGAAGGGCTCATCTGGTGTCCCGTGTGCTCCTTCACCTGGGGTTATAAGACAGAGGGATGAGGCTGTGTTAGGAAATCCTGAGTAACATGATCACACTGAATTGCAGAGATTCCTGTAGTAGCACTACGTAGTGATGTGAGTATTGTGTTGGTAATAGATGGGAAGTGAGATAGGGCTCAGCTGCCTTCAAAATTTGCATGATTCAGAAAAGCTTCTCCCTGTCCCTCAAGTCACCAGCTGAAGGGACACTTTGTTCTAGCTCGGTGTGGCTGGCTCTCACAGAAGTGATGGTGTGCCAGCTATGGACACAACTGTCTGAAATCAAATTATTCAGGTTTTGAGTAGGAGGAATAACTTGTTCTTTGTTCCTGAATGTTTTTGCTGGAAATGGGTTTGATTGTTGAGGTCTTTCTATTCAGTAAAATATTTAATTGTGGTACAGATGACAGGCATGCTAAATACTGATAGCAATAAGAAGCTGGGCTGTCACCAGATGGGCTAGCTTATCTTTCCCTTCATCCTTCCTCTTTGCTTCCTTCAGTGGTTTTCTAGCAAGTAGGGCTTTCTAAAATAAATAAATGAATAAATGAAAAATGGATGTAAATTAGCTTAATATAATTGATTAAGATGGCCTGGCACATTTCCATTCTAACTATATTCATAGAAGTTGTTTCTTCGGACACCATTTTCAGACAATCTTCTGTTTATAAAACTAACAATAACAAAAAGAACCAGCAAACAAACTGGAACTATCCCCATAAGCTGTCATGGGAGCAACCTGGAATAAATTGCCATGTTGCCTTGTAGCTGCTTTTTCAGGGAGAAATATAGAAATGTTTCTCTCCCTCAGAAAATTAAGCTATACATTAGGAACCACCTTCTGCGAACAGATTCCCTGTGTTCTGTAAGATACCATGAATTTCAAAGCTTTATGGTAACTCTCCTAAGAACATACATGCTTTCTTAATTTTCCCTTTCTTTTTCAATGGGAAATGAGAATTTCACTTAGGGAATGCAGGTAGCTTCTGTGGGCTGTTTACTTCATGGAGATTGCTCTTTCCAGCACTCTTGCTGAATCACTGAGCTTTCACTCAGCTCTGCAGTGTCTGTCTTCTGCTTTGATGGCATGAGAGTGTGACTTAGACGTGCTAACACTGTTCAATTGCATTGTAGGTTCTTTTACAAGGCTGCAGAAGTGTAGAATTAGACTGCTGGGATGGTGATGACGGAATGCCTATCATTTATCATGGTCACACTCTTACTACTAAGATCTCTTTTAAGGTATGCTAATAACTGCATATAGAAACAAAAAAATGAGAAGAAAATCAGTATTTTTTTCTGCAATGAAGGAAAAAATTTGCCAACTAGAAAAATACAAATCCTAATGGGCTAAATCCTAATAGAGTATGAACTATGGACTGTCAGACATGAACTCCTCAATGCTAAAGATTATGCTTTTTAAATCAGTTTTTGTAGCATATATACTGTAATTTTCTGTCTTTTTATTGTCAGTGTAAGCAACGTAAGTATGTATTACCAGTCCTGTTGTAACAAGATGCTATCTTGTTTTGAAAACAAATTTTGGACCCTTTCTCCTTAGAGAGGAAAACAGATATCTTCCCCTTTCAACTAACAGTAAGCTAGCTGAACGCTGCAAAATAACCCCATGTTCTTTCAATGGCCTTTCTTTCCCCCAGGAGGTAGTTGAAGCTATTGATCGCAATGCATTCATCACTTCTGACATGCCAGTTATCATATCCATAGAAAACCACTGCTCATTGCCTCAGCAACGCAAGATGGCTGAAATCTTCAAGGTAGGCCATAAACTGCAGTAAATTACTCTAAGCACGTGCCTTGGGATTTTCCATAATATATCACATGTTCTTAATATTTCAGAATGTATTTGGAGATAAGTTGGTGACAAAGTTTTTATTTGAGAGTGACTTTTCTGATGATCCCATGCTTCCTTCCCCTGGCCAACTGAAAAGAAAAATCCTGCTTAAAAACAAGAAGCTGAAAGCCCATCAAACACCAGTGGATATATTGAAACAAAAGGTGAAGTCTTTCCCTAATAGCAAGTAGTGAGACCCAACTTTGGTTAGAAATAGTTCATTTGTGTTTGAAGTTTGTGCTATTCCCATATGAACAGCAGAATAATCTAATGCATATTCATGCTTGGAAGACTCACAGTGGATTGCAACACTTTCAAATAACTAGACAAGACATATAGTACAGTATAGATACAGCACAACTACATTTTAGTGTGTATTAGTTTTATATAGCCCTAAATAAATGATAAACATAAATGAATTTTCTCTGTGAGTCTATAACATTTACTGTTCACGTTTATTGAGAAATAGTGATATGCATTAAGTATGTGTATATATTTACAATATGTAGTAATTTTTGGTAGAGTTCTACTTTGTTTCCTTTTTCATAGTCAAACCGGGCAAATGCTGTCTTTCCTAATCCCTTTTGATGGGGGACTCTGCTATTCAAATAGTGCTTATACCTATATGAGAATTTTTTGATTTCTAAAGATTAGAGCTGCATCTATAGTAACATCAATATAATAATGTCTATGGTTAGTCAGCAATTAGATTGAATCCTTGAAAATGTAAACGCAGTTGCATTAGATTTAAATTCTTGTATCAGAATGAGTAAATCACACTGATTAGTACCAGTATATGGACATGCTCCATCTTTTGAAAAGATTTTGAACTATTTCTTGAACAGCCTACCTCAGACTGGAAAAAAGCAGCATTGCTCTGAGTGATGTGCAAAGTGGAAATTTTCCTGTAATTAATTAGTTTTCATATCTTATTAAGTGTTTTTCTTCCAATACAGGTTTTCTTTACTTTCACACCCTTAAAATGGTATTTTAGTTTGATCTTAACAATCTTAAAAATCTCACTTATTTCTCATTCAGTGCTTTCATATAAATAAAATAAGATGCAAACAGTGATGAAAACCCTTTTGCTTTTTAAAAAATTACCAATAATTTACTAAGTGATTCTGTTGTTGCAGGCTCACCAGCTGGCACATATGCAAGCACAGGCTAGCAATGGTGCTAGCAACCCCACACCTACCAATGAAGAGGAAGAAGATGAAGAGGATGAATATGACTATGACTATGAATCTCTCTCTGACGGTAACAATATTTATTCCTTTATTTATTTATTTATTTATTACAGTGCTGTTGCTAGAACTGTAGCAATAAGAATGTAAATATTCTAGTTCAGAAATGAGGTAGGTAACTTGGTCTTACCTTGTGAGAGGAAGATGTACTAAATGTCCTTGGTGGCACTTTGGTGCAGTAGTCTCTAATACTGTGAAATTAATTTGACTGTATAGAAGACTTGGATGTGACTTTGAGTCCAACCATTATGTTTTAACTGTGCATTGTATGCTAAATTCTAGTCTTTGTAAATTACGTTACTCATATAGACAGCTGAAAGCTCAAGTTTGCAACAGGCATAGCCCTGGCATCTGCATGATCTCTGAAGTACCCACTAGTTACACCTTAGGCATCAGCTGTTCACAGTAAAGGTAGAGGAGCTGCTGAGTCCTTGGTTTATTCAGTGAAGATGGTTTTATTGAAGCATCAAGTGCTCAGTGAGAAAATGGCAAGACATGCCTCAGTGACTTGCCTTGTAAGTTCATGGGCTGTCTACACTTCAGCTGTCCTACCCTTCAGGAACTGGCAGTTTAGCATAAATCCACCTTTAGGAGCAGTTTATAGATTGGATTAATGACTGGCATGCCAGAAGTGATAACAAATATTGCAGTTAGTAACTTCCACTACTTCCTTGATTCTACTCCAGATGAGGCAGCTGAGCTGAAGTCATGCTTTCTTTTTTTGCTTCTCTTGCTGCGGGACTGGTTGATTCAGGTAGAGAAAACAGCTGGAGTCAGAAAATGTAAAAATATATTTAATCCTCTAAAGTTTTGTCAAAGGATATTTGTCAGAACTTCCATGTATAGATTGAACAAGCTTGAATGCATCTAAATGAGTTACTTGCTTTTTTTAAATAGTAATTTTCAGAGAATATATCAAAGTAGATCAGCGTGTGTTTACCCAGCGAGACAGCAGTGATGATATAAGTGAAACCAAGCTCTTTGGGTAGTTAAACCCTGCACCATTGTTAAACTCTGTAAATGAGTCACAAAACTGACCAAAGGGACAAAAAGTTGCAGATGTGCTTCAGTGTAAGTAAATGTAAGGTTATTTGAGGGAAAACCTTTAAACCTTGTTTATATGATTCTAAGATCAACGATGGCAGTATCAGTTTCAGAAATCATGGAATTACTGAGTTCTCTGAAATGCTCGTCTTGGTGTTCAGTGACAGCTAAAGATGGAGATGATCAGGGACAGTAATGAAAACAAAACATCTTTTGGTTTCTATATAAAACCTTAATGTGTGACAACTTGAGTTCCGTGTCCAGTTCTTGCCTCCAGATTTCAAGAAGGATATGATGGGGTTAAGAGAGGTTAGAGAGACGGGCAGCCAAAAAAGTAAAGCGAGTGCAGTGGTGGCCTTGCACGAGTCTGAGAAGGCTAGAATTCTCCAGCTGGTAGAGAAGGGGACTGAGAGGTGAATTGGAAGCTGATTTGCTAAATCATGAAGTGGTGGATAAGGGGAGTACAGAACTGTTACTCTTTAGATCTAGGAGGTACTCAGTAAAACAAGTGGAAGTTCAGTCTAAAACAGGTAAAGTATTTATTTGTGCAGCTGGTAGTAAACTTCTGGAATTTGCTGCCGTGGGAAATTGCAGGGCCAAGTGGCATCAGCATGTTAAAAAAAACGACTGGACAAATTCATGGACAGATTTATAAGCCAATGTCGTAGGTAGAAATATTTTAGTCCAACATCTCTAATATTCAGCAGTTGTGGTTGTTGGGATGGTACTCAGGAAGTGGGGCCAGTTGCTCTCTTTAAATGGTATCTTCTGTTGCCACTGTCAGAGAATGCTCAGCTAGATGGACAGTTGGTCTGACACAACTGGGGGTGTTCTCCTGAGTAAACAGTGATGAACCGAACCTTTAAGTCTAGTGGGGAGCTGTTTAAGTTCTAGGTGCCATGTTAGAGAAAATGGAAGGCTTGAGCATGTCCTGCAGCACAGGACTTCTTTTCAGATTGTCTCTTATTTACATTACTTGCTTCTGTCTTTAATGATTTAAAAAATAGTCACAAAATTAATGAATGCAGTTCAGAACCTGACACTGCTTATGGAATAGCAGTATTATGTAATGCTAATATGAAAATTTATTGGTTTGATGTCAGTGCTGCCTTCAGTTGTGTTTTGCTAGAAAGCTGACCTAACTGGCTATTTGAGAATACTCTTTGTGTGGGACAGGGTGGAGATAGTGAAGATGTAAATTGCTGTGAAAACTTAGATCTTTGCTAAGGGACTTGTGAAGAAAATATTGCAAAATAACTGCAGTAAGTGACTTTTGAGCAATGTTCTAGTTAAGAGAAGGTTTGAGAAATCTGAAGCTAGCAAGAAACATTCACACCTTCCAATACATGAAGAAATCTGCAGCATGATTTACTGCTTTATTACAATAATAATCTTTGGGGTCTTTAATTGTGTTAATATTTTGGAAAAACTAATCAAAGTAATGGTCTGTAAACTTTCTAAAAGAGATTCAGTTTTATTTTTCTTACTGATATATTTTTTGAGTAAGGCTAATAGTTTTATGACTGACACTAAATTTTCATTTTTCTGGCTGTAAATCTTAATTTCCTGTACTCTTATTCCCTCTCTGACTCGTTTCCCTGTAGCTGATGTCCTTAATGCTTCTCCTGCTCCTAACAGCCAGGAAGGTAAAAGCCATTTGGTTGAGCATTTTAACTGCATGAAATCAGCATTGCATCTTCAGCCTGTTCAATGTGACAATGTGAATGTATGGTTTTTACTTCATATTGTAAATGCAATCAGATGTTTTTAGATGGCATTGTTAACTGGTCAGAAGCTGTTAGAAGGCTGCATGTGCGACACTGGTTATGCATAAAAAGATTATGGTCAAAGCATCAGGAATATCAGGAATAAAATAAAACCATTCCTTTTGTGACAGTTGCAATATTTTGGTCCAGAAAGACTATATTAGTAGGTTTATTATTCTTTGATAAATATGTAGCTTTGAAGAGGTATTTCTATAGATGGAAAAAATATTTGTGCGTGATGAAAGTAAGGAGAGGAAAGCCAAAATTTGCTGTACAAAGCGTGTACATGTTTGATGTAGTTAATTGTGTTTAGACATTTTTTGTCATTCAGGACTTCCAGTTATTTTCAGATGGCAAACTTAATTCATTAGATGGTTTGGTCTTAAGGATCTTTTGAACACTAAAGGATCGGCTTTAAAGGAAGTGCAATGTATTAACCGAAGCCAAGCATTAAATTTTTGAAGGAGAAGGTTACTACCAGAAGATGATGCTTTGACCAGCTAATGCATTATTTTAGCATCTGGTTATTCATATAAGATTCACAGCACTGTCCACAAATATTGTTAATTCAAATGAAACTTCCAGTTGAAATTGTTTGGCTTTATGTTTATTAATATCCCCTTAATTTTTAGATAACATTCTTGAAGACCGACCTGAGAATAAATTATCAAGTGATAAACTGCAGTTTGAATACAATGAAGAGACTGCCAAACGACTAAAGAAGGCTGATTGTGCCACTTACAATAATAAAGGAAAGGTAGTTCTGCTTTTCCCCCCCCTTCTTCCCAGCCACACTTTGATACATAACCAGCTTCAAAAGGATTGGACAGTTTAGGTAACTGAGACATCAGATGGCAAATGTGCTTTTATAAAGACAAATAATAGGAAGTATGGAAAGACACCAGAAAAAACAGATTAAATAGAACAAATGCTCAACATACTGTTCTAGGAAAGTCTTCAGAGGTTGCTGTACATAGAGGCTGTTTGGCTGAAAATTTAACTGTTGTTGGTCTCAAGGAAAGTGTCATTGAAACGAGATCCAGGAGCTTATTTAGATATTTAATTTCCATTAATATCGATGGAACTGAAGATTTCATCTGAATCTTCAGCATCTTTGTGTATCAAAATAAAGTACCACAGTATGATATCAGATAACCACAGTACCTCTTATTAAATCATCTGACAATGAAACCAGTGCATTTCTGTTTAATAAATTGTAGTTTCTCCTGAACATGGATATGTTTTGTCTAAATGTTTGTAGAACTGACTGTGATTAAGGCCTTTGCACACTATTGCAGAATCAGTAACACGTGTTGCTGCATAGGTATGCACACGGGAGGGAGATGTGTTAGGTGAAGACACAAACCATATAGGAAGAAAGAGATAAAATATTTTAAAGACATAAGTAAGATATGCTAGAGTTCTTCCACATTCAGTAATATTGTTATTAATTTTATTACATGTTCTTGGAATTGTCACTCAGGTTTACGACATGGAGCTGGGTGAAGAATTCTATCTTCTGCAAAATAAGAAGGAAAGCAGACAAATAGCCCCAGAGCTATCAGATCTTGTCATTTACTGTCAAGCTGTAAAGTTCCCTGGTAAGTACACTGCCCTGTTTTATTGCTCTAAGCTTTCTAATTCTTGGAGACATTATGTTTATGTTTTGAATTAGTTCGAAGTAGTCGAGGGGGTTCGTTCTTGATGATTTGGTAGGCTTCGTAATAACAGCTCCTGGCTGAGAAGCAGTATTCATAAATTATGTGACTACATACTGTTTGTCATATTAAAATGTTTACAAAAGTGAAATTTGCCAGTCTTCACAACTTAGACAACTGTTTCAGGGCCAAATGCCAGATGACAGAAAGCTTCATCTTAAGAGCTCCGAGTTTCCATGTAAGGACCTACTGAATTAGGAAGGAAAATATCCTTAAGACCTTGAAGGAACAGCGTGTCACATTTCTTTAGATGACCTCAGTTTAGAGTGTTTCACCTTTGCCTACACTGCATCATCTGTTCTTCCCTAAGGGGACAGGAGAGGAGCCTTTTTATGGGGTGGGTGAGAACAACTGACTGCACACTCACACACAATCTTCATGGAAAGAGTTAAGGAAATAAGAGTGTCTTCTTCTGTACAGTAGGAAGAATAATGTTTGCAGAGAAAAGGAGAGGGAGTAACTGAAAAGATCACCGATAGTTACTTGTTCAGTACTGAAATGTGAGGTTGGGTATATTTTGGCTCATACTGTGAACATAAATACTTTTATATTGAGAATTTATTGTTTATTGATGTGTTTAATGTTTTGAATGAAAAATCTGCTTTTTAGTGGCATGGTTCTCTGTGGAAAAGTTAACCATTCTGCCAAATCATGATCTTATACAAATAGAACTATAATCAGATTAAAGAAGCTAACCAAACATAAAATAGTGTCAAATGGGTAAGATAAACATGCTGAAAAATGGACAGACATTCTTTGATAATCCTCCATAACTTTAAGAATTGTAGGTGTCACTTGTAAAAATAATGACTTCTAAAAATTCAAATATGATACTCTTTTTGATGAAATCTGCAATGAGATATCTTTCAAATAAAATATTTTGTTTTAAAGAAAGATATTCAAGATTAAACAGAGATAGTTGGAGTTGTTCCAAGCATTTTGACACACAAAAAAGTTCTGATGTTTTAAGAAAACTTTGAAATATTTAATTTTTAATGTAATTTTGGTTATAAACAAAATACCTGTTTTCCCTATCAGATTTCTTCCTTGTGCTTTAAAGGGGTCATGAATAGAACAATTAAGAAAATGAGCTCTTTTACAGATGAACACATGAAGCTATAGAAATTACTTTTCCAACAAACTGTCTCCTTTGAGGCAAAAACTGCCTGCTCTGTAACGTAGACTTCCATGACCACCATGCCAGTGATTGGATTCCTCTGCTCAGCCAGAGGGCACAGAGACGGTGCAGTGCCATACCCCAATATTGTCCATTAATGATGGAAACAGGGCTGGTAGATCCATAACTATGGAGCTCTATTGACTGCATTCCTAACCAACTCAGAAAATGCAAGACTTTTGGAAATAGTGAGTGCAGAATTCATGTCAGTGTCTAATCAGTGTTGTAAATATTTTATTTCTCCTGTCTTCATATATTTTTACTCTCTGTTTACGCTTGCCTACGTCCCTGAATGTTTATCACTGTTTTGTGACTATAAAAAAGGACAAGGACCACTATGTTCACTTATCCTAGCCTACTGAGTAACACAGACTTCCCTAAGCATTCCCTGGTCAAAACAGAATTTATCATGTGGAGAAAATAACATTTCTTGTTTATAAAATCTGTGTTAACAAGGAACCCACCACAGCTCTTGTTGCTTCCGTGCTTTCTGACCCTTACAGTCTGTTGGATATTATCATACCAGTATGTGAGAGGGTGAAGGTCTGTTCTCTGGGATCTCCCAAGATGAGGGCAGTGAAGCACACCTGAACACAGTGCTGTAACCCACTGGCACACGGCTCGTTGCCTTGGTGCTGAGGATCCTTACACAATGAGTACAGAAACTGAGTACATAAAAGCAGAATTTGCACAATCAAGGGGAGAGAGCAGGGAGTCACCTGAGCTAACTGGCATGAAATTCAGGCACCGTCTCCATTGTATCAGACCATCTGCCTCTATGGTATCACTTTCCAAGAAATTAAAGTGAATATGAAAAGAGACAGCCTACATACATACAAAAATGCTGTAAATTCTTTTTCAAGATCTGCAAACCTGCAGACTGTCTGTTGGTCTGAAATGTGGTGAAAAGGTGGGAATTACAATTTAACCTGTTATGTCAGTATGATTAGAATAAGAAGGGCAGGGAAGTTTGCAGTTGTCTGGATTAAAAAATCTAAAAGCAGTAAAGCAGTGTGCTTATATCTAACACAAGAGACAGGCACTAATCTCTGTAAGTCAAAGAACCTGGCATAGGGGTTGTAGAGAAATACAAAACATTCAATCTGTCATTATGGTAGTATAATAGGATCTGTGTACAGTATGGTGGGATCAAAACTGGTCCTACTTTGACCAGAGAGGTGGACCAGATGCCTTTCATATCATTGTCAACCTCCATTATTTTGCAAATTTATGATTGTATGAAGAGGTGGAGCTGTATTTTGGAGTCAAGTTTAAATTGGAGTGCAAAATGGAGCTTGCCTCTGGGAAGAGATGTGTCACATGCAAAGCATGGCCATGGGAAAGACTGAAATAAAACCCCTGCTGCAGCTTCCCCGTGGCCATCACGTTAGGGTCTGTCAGCCCAGGTTTTGCATTGCACTCTGGTGATTTATGAGGTTACCTTGTTTCCTCAGTGACTGTCTCCACAACAGGATTTTGAAACCTGGATCTTCCTTGCCAAATCCATTTGATCCATTGAAAACTGGGATTAAATAGTACTGGAAGCACACAGTTCATAACTTTTCATTCTCTAGTCAGTTCATATTCCTTCATCTCAGTTTCTACCATCTTCTGTTGTTTATGTGTATGCTTTGGCCCAAAGAGACAGTACCTCTCCAGTGCTGCAAACATTTATATATATCCTAAATTTTACTAATCCAAGCAGTTCCATTGAAACTATCTGCATATTTTTACTAAATTCATGTACACATGCCATAAAGATTGAGAGCTGAAAATTTACAGCTGTGGACAGACTTCAGTAGAAAAGAAGCCAATGTATCCTCTTTGTGATTTACTGTTTGAAATTGTATTAAAACCAAAACTGTCTTTAGACAGGTATGAATTGATGTGAATTAATGAGGAATGTTTTAGGAGTCACAGTTAGGCAAATAACAGTGTTTGCTCTGTTATATTCTATATCACAAATACATATTGGGTCTCTGAGACCATCCCACACCTCACTGCTGTGGGCAGAATAACTACTGTGCATTTTGACTTTGACTTTCTTTACTTTCATCTGTCCTGTGCTCTCTTCAAGTCAACAGAAAGAAACTGACCTTAAGTGGGATTGAGTCTCTTTACTTCACAGGGATTTAGGTCATGATTTTAATGATTATGTTTCTAGAAGGTACAAGTTTGAATAATAGCTATACAAGAGCTTTCCAGCTCCGTTTCTAGTGCATATTAGCCATTAAATGTGTAATGGATTTTGCACACCTAACTGTATTTCCCAACATTGAAATACTAATAAACAGAAGAAGATAACTCTGCAAACATCTTGAAGTTAAACTCTTCTATCAACAGCATTTGGACTTTTATATCTTTAAATCATAGTCTTGCATTTATTTAATTATGTAGGTATCCTATCCCAGATGAATTCCATGATAATCACTACTGTTTAGGTTTATTGCTTCTATAGAAAATATTTTTATTTTTTAAAAATTATTCTAAGGATGAATACATTGGGACTGTTACTGCAGATTTTTTTTAGTATCAGTTAGGACTATTTGGTAATTTGAGAGAAAGCCAATACCTTCTTCAAGCCAAAAAGTAAAATGGAGAAAAGTTACATCACAGAGAGAGAACTGTATATAATATTGCTTTGTATGAGTTTTTATATACATTACATATATACACATATATATATATACACATTATATATAAAAACCTACATAACATATACATATATAAAGGCATCTATCTATGTAAGGATGTTCAAATTAAATTATGGAGAAAAATACACTGCTTGTCCTGTGTACTATATAACAGGAGTATTCATGCCTTCAAAAATAATGTAAAATATGATGGAAAATGTTGTGCCCTCTTGGTCATGTTTTTTGGCTCATTTATTTAACATTTATGGGAACAGGCTTGTCAACTCTAAACCCATCTGGCTCTAGCAGAGGAAAAGAAAGAAAAAGCAGGAAGTCCATTTTTGGCAACAATCCTGGCAGGCTGAGCCCTGGGGAGTCAGCTGCTCTTGCCAAAGCATCTGGAAAAGGTAAAGTTAGCATCTTCTTTCACCAGTCATGTGGAATGACTCTGTAATCCAACACATGTACCAGACCAAGTTGTTAAAGATCAAATACTTTGCAATGTGTAAGATGTTGAACTTTGGAATGGTTTTCTGTTAGTGCAGCAGCTATTAGAGTAACACTATTATAACTGAAGTGTTGAGTGTGGAATGTTAAAATAGGATTCCTCGGTCAGAGATATGATGACCTTAGTTCATAAACAATTCAAAACTAACATACATTTTAAGTGATGTATCTTAAAGTTTATGCTTTAAAAAGTATAAATGAATATTTTCAAAGTACAAATGGAAGGCAGAACTGTTGGGCTGGATCCAGAAAAGAATTTTTAGTGTCTGAAGCAGGACTTAGTTGCCTAAAATTCAACCAAGTCTAAATGTGTAATTGTGCAAGTCAGACTTTGCAGGTGATTCAGTTTGTAAACCAGGAAATTGTGCTTCTGCCTGTGAACAGATGTAAAGAAATACAAAGGAAGTACAGAAAAGGTTCTGGAGACCCAGATCCCCTGCCTTTTAAGTGATTGTCATAAACAGAAAGTTAGAATTGTACCTTTTCTTGAACTTATTTTCTGGCTCAGGGAGTGTTGCATTTCTTGCAGCCCAAGGGCACAGCTGCAGCAGACAGGTTAGATTTCCTGTTAGAGGCCAGTGTCCTAAAAATGAAGAAGTCAGGTGCCTAATTCTAAAGTATATAACTATTTTGCTGCCTTTGTCCCCTAAGTCTTACAGTCTCTGCAGATTGCCTGTTTGGAGACTTAACAGATGGCTTTCAGTCTTGCCTCCCTTCCTCATTAAAAATGTATAAATGGGAAGAAGGGAATTTTATTCCTTTATTATATTCAGGCAAACACCAATTATTTATTTATTTAGCACATCTAATAATGGTATTACTTCAATACTTAAACATTATGTTTCCTCTCATGGATTGCTCTTCCTCTATAAGAAGGAACGTGACATTTAACCTGAGTACTGTAATTTTCCAGAATCACCTTTTTTTGCCATAACTAAAGCACATACTCCAGTAGAAAACCTTGAATTTTTGGAGTCTCTGGCCCTGCAGCTGTAACTTGAGGGTACTGTTTATCTTCCAGGTCCTTTGGATGTGATGCGGCAAACCTGGGAAGATCCTTGCTCTCCTTACAACTCCCCAGCCTCTCTCAGTGCCATCATCAGGACGCCCAAGTGCTACCACATCTCCTCCCTGAACGAGAACGCTGCCAAGCGGCTGTGCAGGCGCTACTCCCAGAAGCTGATCCAGCACACCACCTGCCAGCTCCTGAGGACCTACCCTGCTGCCACTCGCATCGACTCCTCAAATCCCCATCCACTGATCTTCTGGCTCCATGGGGTACAGCTCGTGGCTCTGAACTACCAAACAGACGGTATGGGTGCATGAACACCTTTTAATACATTTAAATGTGATATAAGCCCTTAAACTGTGAATTTGTATTTGGCGCTTGCTTTTCCCTGCTCTCACGAGGGGATCTGCTTGTCTGTGCACCCCACTATAAGCAGGTTCTTACCACAACAATCTGGTCCTTGGAAGGAGTGATCCCAGAGTTCAGGAGTTTTATGCCAATGCAGCAGATCCTGTGATAACACAGAAGTGCCTGAACAGCAAGACCTTCCATTTTTATTTTATTGCTGAAGGTTATTTTTTTTTCCCCCAGTTCAAGAAACTGTTACTCCTTTCTGATAACTTCAAATACAAAAGGGTACAAAGGGTACTGAACTATTTTTAACTTGAAAGTGCTGCCATGGATGCTGGTTTAATGTTGACCAAAACATTTTTGGACTGTTTGCTATGCTGTCTTGTGTTGCTTCACCTTTTCCATGGGGGATCCATTAGATCTTCTACAAAGCTACATAGTCAGTGCTTTTTCATTCTGCAGTTCAGGGCACATACCTAGAGACTTCTCAGAGAAATGGTGTAGGCAAGCCCTACAGTTCAATAAAGACAATGGAAAGGGGTAGATAAGAAGGAACTGCTTTTATAGTTTTGTATACTTATTGGATAAATTCGATACATAAATTACAGCTATCTCTGAAAATCAAGAATGAAATTATAGTACACAACTAAAATAATTTTAAAAAGATACCTAAAACACGACTTTTTCTTCACTGTTACAGTTTTTCCATTGTACCATTGCTCTTTGTCAGTTTTGGCTGCCTTATTTCACAGATCTTCCTCTGCAACTTAATGCAGCAATGTTTGAGGCTAATGGTGGCTGTGGATACGTTTTGAAACCTCCAGTTCTGTGGGATAAAAATTGTTCAATGTACCAGAAGTTTTGTCCATTGGAAAGAGATTTTGATAATAAGGAGCCAGCTATATATTCTTTAACAGTAAGTACATTAAAAAGGAATTTCATGCAGCCAAACAGATAGAAGTAGACAAGATGTAACTACAGTCTTTAATCAGCATTATGGTCATGCTTCTAAATGGAAAGATTGAACCTTTAATTGTTGCTTGTACTTCTGAAGGTCAGCATAACTAACAGAAATTGGAAGGGGAAGGAGAAAAGATTTGTCTTTATTTTATTTTATTATATTTTATTTTATTGGCTGGTTTGTATCCATAGTTACTTTCACTGTTTCCTTCACAATATTCATTGAAACCCAGTCCTGAAAGAATTTTCCTTGGGACTACACAACTGTGTAAAATTACACATGTGCCCTGATGTTTGACACATTTGTGAACACTTGAGAAGCTACACAAAAAAACCATTATGAAAAGCCGTACTGAATCTTTAAAAAAATATTTTACAAGTTATATAATAAGATATATAATTCGTGGATTTGTGGCCAAAAAAAAGTATTCTCAGAAGCTAGTCCCTTCCAGGAAATGTGTCAGAAAAGTGAGATTCATAAGAATCAGAATTCTCCCAGATGTGATAATTACACACCTAATTCTTGTGTTGCATATGCCAAAGCAACCTAATTCTTGTGTTGCATATGCCAAAGCAAACCAGACGTCAGTGCCATCACTCCAGAGTAGTGGAGAAGAAATTGTGGTCCTTTTTGACTACATTACTGGTACATTCTTTCTGGATTAGCTTTCAGATGCCGTGAATGGTTACACTCATGATGTATAGTGTGTTTTTTTCAGAGGAGAGATGCCATAGCGGTGGTGTTGGGGGTTAAGGCAGCTCTGCTTCTGAAGTGACTGCCCTGGCAATTACAAAAGTAGGGGAGTGTCGTAATTAAATCAGCACGTTAACAAACTGTGCTTAGGAATGTGCTAAACAATATTTAGCAGAATCACGACGGGAAAAGAATTACTCCACTAATTGGTTTCTCTGTGTACTCCTCGGCTTCAGATCGTGTCTGGACAGAACGTGTGCCCCAGCAATAGCACGGGCAGTCCATGCATTGAAATCGATGTGCTGGGGATGCCTCTGGACAGCTGCCACTTCCGGACAAAGCCCATTCATCGCAATACTCTCAACCCCATGTGGAATGAACAGTTCCTTTTCCGGATTCACTTTGAGGATTTGGTCTTTCTCCGGTTCGCAGTTGTTGAAAATAACAGTTCAGCTGTGACAGCTCAGAGAATCATTCCCCTCAAAGCACTAAAGAGAGGTACAGCCTAGTTTGTAGTGACACCCTATGCCAAAATGGTTCAGCAGATTCCTGGACTGAATCTGTCCAGAGGGATATTTTTAATCAGCTAGTTGCATTTTTCTAGAGGAGGAAGGGAGCTAATATGAGACTACATACCATGGCCTGGCAGTACAATGCTGACTCCTTAGGAGCCAGCAGCTGCCCCAGTGAGTTGTAAAAAGCTCGATCCTGTGGTGTTGTGGAGACAGGGGCATCTTACACCTGCTCGGATCCTGAGCTGTGCTTGTGAGGTTATGTTCACCTGGAGACTGGCTGCTCCCTTAAGAAGCATGGAGTGGTTTCATTCCCTGCCTTGTCCTTTGCCCAAGAAACTGCTGTAATGGGTGATCACTGGTCAGAGGGGAATTGCGCTTCTGGCAGCTGTGGCTGGAGGAGAGTTGAAGGAAGGGTGAAAGAAAGTGAGAGAGTTGAGAAAACATTGCTAATTCTGTGACACCTGGGAAATGGAGTTTCCATGTTGCCAGCAGCTCTTTCATATGTGCTTTGTGTCACTGTAATACCACACAACTGTCTGTGTTGGCATATGAGGAGATCTGGCCAGACATGCATTTTCCCAGTGATAATTTGACCTTGTTTCATTCATATTCTAATATTTAGATATTTTATGTATGAATATATTGTGTATTATGGCAAAACAAAGCTAGGATGCTGTATGAGCCACTCAGCAATTCATAGCACTTGGGTTACACTGTTGTACAGCGTTAATGCAGTGCTATTACAGTGCCTTAAATCCTATTTGTGTGGCAAATTGTACCTATAAATACAGCAAATTTGAGTTTTCCATTTATGAGACTTGTGTTCTAGAATGTGGTGAAGTATTTACAGATTTTTCCTCTTTAGGCTACAGACATGTCCAGCTCCATAACCTGCACAATGAAACATTAGAGATTTCCAGTTTGTTTATAAACAGTCGGAGAATGGAAGAAAGTCCCTCTGGAAACACTCTGCCTGCATCTTTGGTAATTCAATTTTTTTTTGTGTGTGTGTGTGTGAATTACCTGTATTCTTGTCATAATAACAGCCAGACTGTTCAAAGGTGTTAGCCCTTAAACCTGCACATTGTTCAGAAGTACCCTGATGCCTACTTTTTGGCTTTGATGGAAGTAAGATTATCCACCTGGCTAAAACTGTGGAAAGGTAAATCTTTTCAAAGTCTGGCTTCTCTGGTGTATTTAGGTATAGCACAAGAACCCCTGGGCTGGAGGAGTGTAGTTGAGCAGTAAGGTCCAGTGCTGCCTCATGCATTCCTTTATGCATGAATTCTAAGCAAAGCATTTGAGACCAAAATAAAAAGAAAGATGCAAATTACCAACAACTTTGGAATAATGAGAATAAAATTGAATTTTATTACATGAAAATAAAGACTCTGTATTTCCATAAATACACATATTTATATATGTATGTGCACATATTTTATATGTACAAATATGTATACATACATATACACATATCTAAAAATATATGTTTTTATTTATGCATGCATAGATGGATGTGATTTTTTCTATTAATAGCCCTTAATATTAGGTTGTCTGGGTTACTCATGTTTTGGCAACTTTAAACATCTATATTATCATTATTCTGACTACTCAAGTGTTAGATAAAACCTGCTGAGCTCCTGTGTATGCAGATGTGTTGCTGATATTATCCTCCTGTGAATACATGCCAAACATGTATCTTGGTGAATTACTAGGCAGAAAGGAAGAACATAAATGGTTTGGAGGTTAAAAGAAAGCTATAGGTTTTCACCCAGTAATCTGTATGCTGAAATGTAAATAGTCTGCTCAGCTAGAATGAGTAATGAGTGATGGAGGTCTGCCCTTCACTGGAAAACTTCCTTTTTCTTCTTTCTCTTCGGCTTCAGGGTAGGGTGGACTCTTTTGGAGGGTTCGTTGGTGCTTTTTAAATGCCTCAATCTGTAGCATAAGAGCCATGTCCTACCTTGATAGCTTTGCTCTCTCAAGGTCCTTACAACTTGTATGTACAGTTTCTTTTAAGCAACCTTTTACATGCCTACATGTAAAAACATTCAGTAACCTGTTGAATGTTGTCTGAACAGTTGTTTAGCCTGGGAGAAAGGAAAGCTGCTGTGACTTACAAAGTGACAGTTCATGGAATTCCAGGCCCAGAGCCTTTCACTGTTTTTAATGTAAGTGCGGGGACTACGGCTGCACAGCTGCTCCATCAGGTAAGCTTCCTGCTGAATTGCACATCCAACTGCAGGAATCCACATTAACATCATTCTGGACATTTGTCTCCCTGCATTTCTCTCATGCAGGGTCGTTGTAGTTCATCACAGCAAGGAGGTGCTGTTAGAAATGTATTGCTGTGGAATTAATTACATTGCAGACACAGAAAATAATCAGTGAAATGATTTATCATTTTAGAATATATTCCCTATCAGTATTTTAATATTTGGGCATATGTAGATGAGAAAAACAATCTTTCTGGCCAACGGAGGCAGTGGGCTGTCCTCACAACAAGGGCAAACATTTCTGCAGAATTCTTTGAACTTGAGCACCATAGGAATACAGAGTAAAAGTTAGAAGGCCAAGTTCATGAGTAGCAAAACCAGTTAACTCAACAGGGATTGTTATTCTAGCAGTGGGAAAAGACTGTACTGTCCTGGGATTATGAATAAATTGTCTGGCCAGCCAAACAGGACAGAAATAAGCTTAAATAGCACTGCCTTGTCTGGGATAGTTGAACTGCTTGGCTACGCTAAAGAGAACAGGACATTACCCTGGAGTAAAATATCTGAATAATAAATAGCACATCAGAAAGCCTGCCTGCACTGTCAGAACAGTTATTGATTCTTAAAGCTTCCGTATTCACTCTCATTTATAACTACTAATTATGCAGTGTTTATATTTAGCGTTCTAATTGTTGTGTGTTTATTATGGTCTGTCTTAGCTCTTGGCTACCATAAAAGGCACCGAGTCATGCGCTGCAGACTATTTTCTGATGGAAGAGAAAAGTTTCATATCTAAAGAAAAGAGTGAATGCAGAAAACCACCATTCCAGAGAGTGATTGGTCCTGAAGAAGGGCTAGTGCAGCTTTTGAACAGTTGGTTCCCAGAAGAAGGATATGTTGGAAGGATTATCTTTAAAACCCGAGAGGAAGTAAGTCTGTTTTAGATAAATTGTTATTTACAAAGATAGCTAAAAATAGCTCTTAGGACCAGGAAATGAAAGGGTGCAGTATTTGTTTCACTACTTGGTGAGTAATGTCAATGCTGTGTACATTGTTTAAAAACAAACATAACTCTTGAGTGAGCAAGGACAACTAGACTTCATGCACCTGTGCGACATTAACTGGACCTCACTCAGCTTTACTATCAGCTGTGTGATGTTTAAGCATTATCACTCACTCACCAGTTCCATGTTGTGTTCTAATTTAATGCCATACATTATGCCAGGATAGGAAATTAATATAAAGAAAGATAATAGTTAATACCATAGGATCATAGATAACAGAACTCCAGACAACCATTATCAATCAGTTTGGATGTCAGAAACTTCTTATCTGTCTAGAAAAATTAGAAATAATTTTAATATTAAAGAATAAGTCTAAAAGGATAGAATAAGTCTAAAAGGATCACAAAGGATAATTAAATTATTAATGATAACCTAAAATAATGAAATAGGCGATTTCTTTTCATTTAAAGGAGGAAAATGGACGGATTACTTCAGTTTAAACTGTAAGCAAAGCATCTACAGCTTGAAAATATGCTAGTGCCCAGGCTTGTGAGAGACAAAAAAAGCAGGACAAAAACACCTAATGATCTCATTTCTGGACACACTTTCTTTGGTCAGTTCGGCCTACAAAAATGCTTATTAGTACACAGATTTTACATACAAAAATGATAGAGATCCTCTGAGATACTTTAAAGTGAAAAAATGTATTTTTTTATTAGTTTGACAGAACTTTTGATAAAGCTTCAATTTGACAAATTACCATTAAATTACACAAGTCCACATTTTGTTTTCCTTTATTTCTAACATTTGGCAAAAAAAATCACAATAAGTTACAAGGTAGAAATTTGTTTGTGGAAATAGTAACCTACTAAATTCTGTTGACTGCAGCACTGACTTTGTCAGTGTGCACCACCACATGTCACTGCCAAGCCCCATTCTGTTAGAAAATGGGAGTTAAAATCTGTCTTGGCTCATGTGAAAATTATGCTGTAGTTTTGTCCTGTGATGTGAGTACCCCAAAGCATTATCTGTAATTCTGAGCCTTTCTGCAGACAGCAGCACCTCAGAGCTTGGAACTAGAAATGAAGCTGCAAATCTGATTGAAAAACAAGGAGTGGGTCCACTGGAGGGTGTGAAACACAGCTCATGTTTACAGCTTATGAATCCAAGCTGTGTTCCAAGGTGTTGGACAGAAATGCATTCTCTGAGAGAAGGTGCAGGGAGGAATTCTGCCTGAAAATCTGCATTAGTCAGAGAGCCTGAAAAGGGACGAACAAACATCCTTCCTCTTGCTCTACACCACAGGAAAACGTTTGCTTAGACTTCTTACTCTCTAAGTACTTTTGGCTTTAGTGCAGGGACAGGAGAGAAAAGAACCCTTTCCACCATCTCCCATCTTACTGCCACCATTAGATGACAAAACATAATTTTGTGTACATAAGGAAAGAAAGGATTTAAGTGACTATGCATACGTCTCCAGACACTGATTGTAGAAACACAGGTATTTATTAGCAGTAGTAGCTTGTCAAAACTCTCCTGTAATGCATTTAACAAAATGGAGCTGGGGCTACAAGCAGAGTCTCCAATTTCCATGTGATAAAAACCTTTTGTGACCACCAGCTATTAGTTACCTTTCTGAAGTAAATTAATCTGGCTCTCATTTATTTTCTCTGTAGAATTTAAACGAGAGAAATGTCTTTCAAGAAGCAAAGGAAGAAGCAGCCATCAGCTCCGAGGATGACAGTTTCTTTGTTCAGGTACACGATGTCTCCCCAGAGCAACCACGCACCGTCATCAAGGCTCCCCGCTTCAGCACGGCTCAGGATGTCATACAGCAGGTGAGCTGCACCTTTCCATGTTAATCTGTGGGGTGGAGGCTGGTTTCACACAAGATAAGGTGGGGTTTGTTCTCAGCATTAGCTGAGGAATCGGTTTAGTAACCTGAATCTGAGGGAATGCCTTCTTTTTTGTCTTATTTTTTCTCTGCTTTTAAACAGACTCTTTGCAAAGCAAAATACTCCTACAGCATTTTGAGCAATCCAAATCCAAGTGATTATGTGCTCCTGGAAGAGGTGACAAAAGAGCCAACAAACAAAAAGTCCTCAACATCTAAACCATCTCAGAGGATTCTCTCTGATCAAGAGTGTGTGTTTCAGGCCCAAAGCAAATGGAAGGGAGCGGGAAAATTTATCCTGAAGCTCAAAGAACAGGTTCAGGTAAAAGATGCAATACTTTGCAGCAGGTGTTGTAGATAGTGTGTGATCAGCTTAATGGGAACCTGCTTTCAATGGGAGAGACACACAACTGGCATGAGGGCAAGTGGGGAAGAGAGACTACAGCAAAAAGCAGATTCCTCTTTTCTCCGAACCTCCCTTACTTTTTTCCTTTGCAAAACTGCAAAGTTGACTCCCTCACAGCCTGCAAATCCAGGACAACCTTTATCTGCTACCAGCTTTCTGTTTTTCAAAATCTTCTGGCTGTGCATGCCACACTTTCCATCATAATAAAGGACCATTCAAATGGGCAGAGCTTAAAAGCTACTGGAATAAAGTCTCCTTTATTCCTGCCCAGTGAAAAAGTTGTTCTGTTGCTTTATCTCAGGCTTCAGAAAATGGCAGGAATGAAGTACATGCCTACTGGGAGAAGGAGCTGCGTTCTGCCTGCCTGCAGACACCACCAATCCACAGCAGCTGTTGCTTTAAAGTAACTGTATTATAAGCACAGATCTTTTTATAAAAGTTTATACTAAATTTACTAAACATATCTTTGACAAGGCATAATTTTAAATTAATTTATTCAGAACAATGAGTAGGATGTGCTTGCCTGTGAAAGCACAGACATACTGCATTTCAAAAGGAAGGCCTGCTTAGAAATATGTTAGGTGTTTTCATATTAATTCTGTATTTCACAGCTAACAAGCAGCTGTTAAATGACTTCTATGATTTTTTTTTTTGTTTCTTTGTTTTTTTACAGGCAGCACGAGATGACAAAAGAAAAGGCATCTCTTTTACCAGTGAACTGAAGAAGTTAACCAAGTCCAGTAAGCAGTATCGGGGGTTCATGTCGCCCTCGCTGCAGGTGTTGTCGGACAGTCCCCAGAGCAAGGACGAAAGGGCCGCGTGTGGCTTGACCTTCAGTGACATTGTAGAGTAGCCACCCCACTGCCCACGGTCTGTTCAGGTACGAGACACCGATCCCAACAATCACATCTCTGAGTAATCATTTATGTGATTTACTGAGGATTTTTTTTCCAGAGTTGTAGCTGGTCAAACCAGGGTGAGGTACAAGGGACTGACAGAAAGATCCATAGAAGCCTTACCCATCGGTGTGCACAGGCACAGTGACAGCAGTAAGGTCTCCAGTCCTTAATTATGGCATTTGCTCCAGTGAATCAGACTGGAGTTTCACCCACAAAACCAAACCAAAATGTTGCATCCTGGTTGATTTTATAGTACGCATTTTAATGAGTAATGGTGCTTAATTAATGATGTACTGTTACTCTTTTGCTCTGGGCCAAAGTAAATGGAAGTGGCCAGTAGAGCTTTTACTTTTTGTTACATGCAGATAACAAAATCATCAGGACTGGCCATCTCCTTTTTAGCTAAAACAAGTTGATGGTGTTAATTTCTCTCAGTGGGAATTTTGCCAGAAATGTTTAAACATTTATACTATCATTTCTGTATCTCTTCAGTTTCTTCCATCTTGCTTGACTTCAAACAACTGAAATACACAACATAAGACTGTCTCGTTTATATGGAGATACTAAGTGCAACTTGTCCAGCAATGTACACTAACCAGACATTTGCACAGTGCTACTACAGCACTGAGACAGCAACTGGGAAGTTACAGCTCCTTGCAAATGAAGAAATCTTTTTCAGTGTTGATAATCCCATCTCACTAATGGCCAATTTAATATTACCTTTTTCTTTCCGCATACACCTAATTATTAAAGCATTATTTGGCCTGCACTGTCATACTACTGCTAAGTCATTAAATTAACAGAATTCAAGTAATGTTTTCATTTGCAAGGTATTTAAAATATGAAGGGATAAATTTGATACCTTATTTCTTGGCTACTATAGCTGAATTCAAGGAAAGCAAAGTAAATTATGGAAAGAGCCCAGTCAGGTTCCCTCTTCCGCATTTGTTATTTCTTGCTCTTTTAAAACTGGAATTTACATTACTGAATCCTTCTGCAGTGCCTTTGAAGGATCCTGCTGTGGACTGAACTGGTCAACAATTGTGTGCCCTGTGCTACAGATGCCTGATCCAGGCAATTCTGCTGGATTAACATCTAGAATCTGGGAATCCTAAATGGGATACTGTAGATTGGAAAGATGCCTGTCAGCTATCGGAAGATTCTGCTCTTCCCGTATCTTCACATCTGCAGATTCTCCATAGGCGGATGGAGAAGTTTTCTTGGACTCTATGTTGTAAACAAACATGTGTCATCACCCTCTCCTTTTTAAACAAAAGATAATTTTAACTTGTTGCCTCTAAGGAAACTGAAGGCAGAGAACCAGAGTGTTCTTTTATGTGTATTATTTTAAAATAACGCACTTTTACCTGAAGATTTCTGTTAAACACTGTGTTAAGTGATTGTAAAGAGATTTAAATATACTGTAACTTCCTTTGCATATCTGTTTAACTTTGGTGAATATACACAAAACACTCAAAATTATTTATGGTTTATCTACTTTAACAAAATAATGTACAATAGCTAAATACACCTAACTGGTAGTGAGACTTTGACAAGCAACAACATTTTCTTCTTATAAATTCTTGTTTTCCAGGCTTGTGTTTAAAGACAGAATATTTATTATCATGTTCCAAAGTACATGGCATTGTATAATATATTTATCATATACTACTTTTTAGAAAATGCAGATTTTTACCTCTCTCTGGATTTAGAGGAAAATATGTTTGAACTTTTATGGTTGTTTCTTTTCAGCGCAAGATGTTTAATACTCCAAACTGACCAAATTCAAAACAATGCATTGATAAGTGTAATTAACATTTCAAAATTTTTAATTCAAATACATTTTTCCATACAGTCAGAAATGTCTTTTTACTTGTCTGTTACAGAGAGTATAAAGAACTTTTACCCTATAACTCCTGACATTTTTGTTTACATAGAAACACTGTTGTGAAGTTTTACGTTTGCTGAATTCATCTTTTGATATGTAAGTAAATTAGTTGTGCTAGTCTTTTTTTTTATTTCCATGGGAGTTACTAATGTGTTTAGTTACTTAAAACAATCCATACCGAGTTACAGGGGCACAAATTAAACAACTGCTGGAATCAGTGATCCCTTTGATCTCCCACAAGAAATGTGTCTGTGGTGAACAAATTGCTCTGCACACGGTTTTGTCTCACTAGAGCAATCCCTAAACAAGAGAAAGAAGTAACAGGCAGTAGTGTCATGACAACTGATGCCCCCCTATTAATTAGAAAATGAAACAGAAGAAAGAAAAGTCATTAACTGTCATATAAACAAGCAGACAGAACCTGCATTCTGTCACCAGAAACGATGAAGTCTTTCAGTACACACTACAGAAAATGCCTGTAAAATAGCTATTACCAAAGCAAAAAAGTGCCCTCTTGAGGTCATTTCCAGCTTTCAGGAAAAATAACTACAGCAGTACAAAAAAAGTCAAATTTCCTGGTGGCATATCCTCACAGAGGCCATGCACTTCCCACTGCTTGTCTTTTACAAAAGTAAACTTTTGAACTGATATAGCACCCCCAACCACCTCCGAGCTCAGCCTCTTCACTCATTAGTACCAACTTGAACTCTGCACATGCATAAGAAAAGACTGATCCCGAGTAAAATGTTAGAAGTGACAACTTACACATAGTTTTATACGCAGTTTGCTTTGGAATTCTTTGGAATTACTAGGAAATACATCAACCTGCTGCACAATTCAACTAATGCAACTGGTTTTTAAATGTTAGCTTCATTCTCTGTTATTTTAACACAGTAGCAGATTCACATCACTAAGAATTTTTTCTTTTTGATGTTGATTGTGGCATTTTAGAAACAATACTTAAGGTTCCTGTAGTTTGCCCTTACCTGTCTGGCCTTTTTTTTTGGTGGTGGTTTGTTGGTTTTTTTTTAAATCTTTAGCAGCACTGAAAATTCTTACCATCACCTAAGTATCACACACTGGCTAATTAATTAGATTCAACATACAAACCTTGGGGATCAAGGGACAACAGTAGCCGTGTCACATTAACGCAGATCTAACACTAGCCTGAAATCTGGTGGCAATTTAAAAGCAGCAGATTTTTACTATTTCTACTAATACAGTAATTTTTCTAGCTGTGGGAACTTAATATGAATATCTTCCTCATTAGTCTCACCAAAAGCTGCTTTTGCTGCTTGCTGTTTATTACAGTGAAAGAGGAGAGCAAAGTATTTGGCTTTTTATTTCAAAATCCATATTTGTAGGCATGTAGATATCTGGAATTATGTAAGGCTAACTACCCTGTTCTAGTATTTCATTAATGTTCATATATCACTTAATTTCAAGTTTAGGTATTGGTAAATAGCCAAGTAAACTTTTGTTAATGAAACATGGTACACTTTGGAGTGAATTTGGAAAAGAATTACAATACTCTTCCTTTTGTTGGGTCCAAGTTTCCTGATAGTGAAAATACACCACCACCTGAAGCATTAAATGGGGGGGGGCAGTTAACTTTCTTGAAAGCTCAGTTAAGGAGCTTCCATGTGCTGAGTTATTATGCTAATAGGAAATTTATTCTGCTTAGCCGCGGATTTTATTTCTGCAGGAATATTTGTCTACACCCTCCTGCGACAAGACTGACAAAATAACTTTGTCCTTTTCTGTGCTTCTGGCTGGGCATGGACATCAATTAGGAAAATACATTCATTTTTACATTACAAACTATTTACAGGAAGCAGCTTCCAGGATAAAGTTTGAAAGAAAGGAATGTAAATAATCAACACCTTCCAGAAACATGCTGTCTCTGAGCAGTAGCAGGTCTTACACTGAACAGTTTACAGGTGGAAATCTCATGCTCCATTGCCTAATGGCAAAAATACAGAAGCATTTTATTCTGTACTATTTAAAAAACTGCTACTTTTCTACCAAGTTCTTAACTTCTCCCTGTGCAGCACGTGGTGCTTGCAGTGGTGTTCTGGTATGGGACGAAAGACGGGCAGTCACAGCTCCTGCCTGCATCAGCACTGCTCCATCTGTAGGAACTGGGGCACACCAGGAGCTGCTTCCTCTCCCACCTGAAGGGTTTCTTGTTTCTATCTTACTGATCCCAAACTATAGCAGAAGACTAAAAAGTACTATCGCAGTTTTATTTTTTTTAAACCTAGTCACATTACTTTTCTTGCTACAAATATTAGGTGAATACTAGGTGAAGTGTCTGCTTCTAGAAATCACATGCTTTGGAGATTTAAAGACTTCAACATGGAAATATCTAAATATTTCAGGAACACTTTCTCTTACATTCATAGTTTATTTTCAAAAAAGAAGACCTTGCTGGTAACTTTACATTTCAGTGAAAGGCTGAGTCTGCAGCTTCTGAAACTGAACTGTCTGCTCTGCTCTGCTCTAGCTCTTTGAATGCTTCAATTAGCATTTGGTTTTTAATCACTGTCAGTTATTATTCCACTATAAAACTCAGTTTACTTTTAGGGTAGCCCACTAAATGTACCAATGGTGGCATTTTTTTCCTGTCTGTGATAAATGTTTTGCAACTTAAATAGTAATAGACATTTGGCAGAGTTAGCAAATTAAACACAAAAATAAATAGCAGTAAATAAGATTTTTGATCCAATAGATGTATAGGCTCTTTCAGAATGACTTAGTTGTACAGTTGTCTTTCTCTGCCTCTTAAAGCATGTCAGAGTATTCTGACAATGCAACATCACTATGTGCCAGTCTCTGTATGTTTGGAAACTATGAAAAATGAACAATTTCAAAATTTTCCACCTGGACTATTTTCTCTCTGCTGACTTGAAGAATAAACCTGTATTTGTATATGTTGTAAAAAAAAATAAATGGTTTAAGATGTTCACTCTTTGCTTTTGCCTTCCCAAACTGACCAAAGTATTGGCAAATGGCCCCCTTGGAATTTTTCAGAATTTAAAACACATCCATTTTGTGAACACTTCACACTAAAAAAAACTATTCAAAAGCTATGGGAATCACAACCTAAACATGTATAAATATCAGTGTTATGTATGCAGTTTTGTAATCTACATAGTAAAACAGGAATTTTCTAATCCATTAATACATAGATGTCTATTCTAAAAATGTCTGTGAATTTATGTTTAACTATTTCAAAGTTGGTGAATTAGTGTGATTAATACTAAAAACATGTATTAAAAGAAAAAAGGAAATTTACTTTTAAAACTATCTAAGAACTATAAATCAGGATAAAAAACTAAATACCCTAGAGAAAAAGCTATTTTCTGACTTGAATGAAAGCTTTGAAAAACTTACACATATATCATTATCACATCATAGACTAAACACTACAAAAATACATTAGCTGAGCTGTCAGCCAGGGACAGCCCACCACAGTCCCCTGTAGAATGGAATTCACATAAAGACAATATCATCTTTTAATTAGTTCATATATTTCACTTACTGTTTGCAAAGCCAACATGCAGCTGAAAATGGATTCTAAAACAACTAGGCAATAACTTACATTTGGGGAACCAGGAGAAAATTACTTCCAAGATAAAACGATAAATATTTACATTCTTACCTTGTATTTGTCCATCATTCTTGACAGCAATGGTTTATTGAAGACACTGCAGTAGAGCATTCAGTCATGATGCCAGTTTAGAACTGAAATCCAATATTCTCAATTTTCCAATACCAAGATTCACCAGAGGGAAAACCTCCACCAAATGCAAAATCATTTCAAGATGAGATAAATGGTTAGAAGACATTAGAAGAAAAAAAGAAAAAATGCAACAGAAAAAATAGAGATTTGGAATTTGTAAGTAATTTAGACAAGCCAATATTGTTAACATTTTCAAAATATTTATTAATTTATCAACAGAACCAGTGAGTTCTTGGAAATACATATGTCTATATTCTGTTATAAAAATTAGAAAAATATATAAACAAAAATACAATCATGCATGGTTGCAAACAAATTTTAAATAGCCTTGTTTTGTATCTTTTTAAATTACTGATGTGACTGTTCACTGTGGTTCCCCAGCCCTGCAAACACAGGCTCCATAGTTAAGCGGACAGGTTTGTAACTCTCTGTGGAAAACTGCTGTTACATTTTTGTGTGTTTCTATATTCAAAAAAAAGCCTACTGGTATTCCTTTAATGATGAGTGGAAATCAGTTTCAGCCAATCTTTCTCCATAATTAAGAAGCCAACTGAAGTTGAGTAATAGGTACATTTATGACAAAGATGTTTCCTTCAAGTGTTTAGCAAAATCCAAGGATTTGTGAACAACAGTCTCACTGATGTGTTGTTGAAGCTGCTTGTTTAGCTCTTCATCTAGAAATGAATCCATTTGTGAGAAGGTATCCTGAAAATTACAAAATATTAGTTGCATTACTAAACGAGGCCAGTATGTGTTTTCCATGCATAGCTTAAATTAGCAGTCCTGTTACTCTCCCATGTCCCCAGTCATCCAGACTCTAGACCTATGGAATTGGCAGTTCATGCCTGCCTGCCCTGCCTGTAAGTTCCCCTTGGCTTGCAAATGATGTGTCAGCCCTTCATAAGCTCAGGGTTTTTTTATTTTGTGGTAAACTGGACTTTGGAATATTACCTACTACACACAGCCACAGCTTCCAGTTCTGGAGGTGCTTACACGCTGCTTCCTGTTCAACACACCTCAGAAACAAAAATCAAGCACCTATATATATAAATCAAGCATCTCTGATTAAAAGGCCAGTGAGAGCAATGATGCTCACAGTAGAGGCTGTGAGACAGAAAGGAATGCCCTGACCCTTCTACCTCCAGCCAGAGCTGGAGCCTTCCACTCTTTCCTGGTGCTCAGATGAGGAATTATGATCACACACATGATTTAAGCTCCCCCATTAAAGTCTAAGCACTCACACAGTCAAGTACATTGTGCACTCAAGGACAAATGAGATCCTCTCTTTAGTAGTGCAAGGGGCTCCAATTGGAGCTTCTATCAACACCAGGGAGGTGCTGACAAAGGCAGCATGGCACACAGAGAATATGCAGAACAGAGAGGATAAAACTTAGATACTGCCAAACTTTGTTAAATGAGCCCAAAAACCAGAGAGCAGGCAAAGCCCCAGGGTAGTTTTCCCAGTTATGTCCATTATAACCACCTATGGACAGTTTGTTTTCTCTCTTCCTTTGTTTCTGCTACCTTAAAAAGCTTGTGCTTTTCCTTATTCAAGCACTACAACTCAAATCTCTCACCTATCTGCTGCTCCCAGCCTTGCTCTGTCTGAGGTGCTAATATAACTCCCTAGCAGGACAGACACGTCAAGAAGTCATTGTAAAATGATGGAATAAGTAAGTACAAACACATTTTCATGAGTTGCTTCTCTAAAATGGAAAAAAATTTGTGCTCTCAAGGCTTCAACTGACATTACTGAGTTACAAAGTGGAGCACTGACAAGGTTAAATGTTTTTATAGGAAGAAATAAAATTATCACTTTTTAAAGGACACCCCTCACTGGACATTTAAAGGAGGCTGGCCTCTGGAACAGTGCTGAGGACATAAAAACTGTTCCCCTCTTTCTCATCTTTATACATTAACTCTTTGTTCCCCTCAAATTTACACTTTAAAGCTACAGTGAGGCTAATAGGGATCAGTATCCCTCTACATACTGAATCAAAGGCTCTGGAAATCCAGCTGTCCTGCCAACTACCCACACTGGGAAAAGAGCTGCGGTTTTTTTACTGCTTTTTGAACAAACATTAGTTCATCATTACAGAAAAGGGCCAAGAAATCTGCACTGAACCACTGCAAAGTGCAAAATAACAGCTACCATATTCATCTTGCTACATGAACTGAAGCTGTGGGAGGTGGAACTATTTATACAGTTACTTTTCCTTCTTTATAGTCAGTCCTATCTTACACCAGTTAAAAGAAATACTTGACATGCAAAGTATAGAAACCAGAAAGCCAAACTGAGCGTGCCAATGCCTGGGCACTGCACAGTGAGCCAGCAGACACAGGTTATTTTGGTACATCATGTGGTTAAAAAAGGACACAGCGACAAGATGGTACCTTTCTTCTGGGTGTTACTGATGCAACAGGAGGATTAAAGGTCATTCCTTTCATGCAGTATGCCTCAAAAAGTTCTGTAGCAGACCTACAGCAAAATCCACAGTGAAAGAAAAATGGCATTAGATAGATACATCTTCAACTGATAATCAACAATTTAAGGGCAGCTTCTCACACACACCACTCTCATCCTCCATCACACTTTAAGAGAACTCAGAGTAATGAGCATCACCTGCAAAAGATCAGAAGCCAACAGCTGGCAAACAATGCAAGTCAAGTAAAATGTGTCTAAAATACTCAATTGTGGGAGACAAGAAAACTGTTCTGTTGGCTTGCCAGAGCTCCAAGCACTCACTGCTTAATCTGTACATATTTAATAAAGGAAAGTAAAAGGTGGATAAAGATTATCTAGCTGACACAATCTGCTAGAATTTCCAAGAGTTCCTTACCAAAGTTTTACGAAAACTAAGCATCCATGGGAGAACAGGGAAGACCATCATAGGAGAAAAGAACTGGCTAAAAGACAGGAAACTGAGGACAGTTTGTGGCCAGTTTTTGCAATGGCAGGAAAAACTATGGATTTCACACAAGGTCTGTTCCAGGATCTGTGCTTTCTAACATGCTCAAAGATGAGCTGGAGATTACCAAGTTATTTGTGGTAGTAAAAATGAGCTCCATGTGAAGAACTTCAGATAGTCCATATGAGATATCAGTAACATGTCAAATGAAATTTAGCGTTGGAAAAAGAAATCAATCTCAGCTTTACATAAACACAATAAGCTCTGAGCTGACCACTATCACTTAAGGAAAAAAATCTTGTTGTTATGACAGATACTTTTATAGGGTTGTGACCTTAATGCTGTTTGGAGTTGAAAAGAAACAGAGAACACAATAGAAATTAGTTACATCAGTGTATAAACCCACAGATCATCCACATCTCAAATATTGCAACTGAGTCTCCAATTTCCTCATCTTGAAATGCTTAAGTTGGTAAAAGTTCAGGAATATGCAACAAAGATGAGGAAAAGTATGGAACGGCTCCTGTCTGAGCTAGATCCCTTGAGCCAGAAGAGACAGTAGGTGGAGGGATGATATGATAGAGGGCCTACCAAGTTCTGTGAGGCATGGAAAGAGTGTAGAGCAGATTGTTCACTTAATCTCCCAGAGCAAGAACCAAGGGCTGTCAAATGAAGCATACTGGCACCAGGTTCAAAACAAAAGACAGCAGGTCTTAACCTAAGGAGCTGTGGACTCATGGGACCCTTATCAAACAATGCTGCATTCGCAAAATGTGTGCTTTGGTTCAAGGGACACTGAACAGTTTTAAAAAGAACGCTATGAAGAGCGAAGTACCAACAGAAACTGGTATTAGGTTCAGAAAATCCACCAGGCTGAGACCAGTCAGAGGCCAAGACACTGCTCAGAGCATGTCACAGAATCACAGACTATTCTGAGCTGGAAGAGACCACAAGGATCATCGAGTCCAACTCTTAAGTGAATAGCCCATAGAGGGATTGAACCCACAACCCTGGTGTTATTAGCACCATGCTCTAACCAACTGAGCTAACCTCAGAGCATGCCTTATATGTATGCCCCATTTTTACTTTTCATGAGGCACCTGCTTCCAGCCACTGCCAAAGACAGGATGCTAAATCAGACCCTCAGTGTGAACCAGCATGGCTGCTCTCGAGTTTTAACATACTATGGACCTTATGCTGCAACTTGGTTTCCAGTTTACGCTGGACAACCACAATTCAGTGATCCTGATCCATATTCAGATCAGGGCTGCTGCTGAGGAAGTGCAGAAATTTTGCTCCCGTGGGAAGAAAACA